TCTAAATGAAGCAGGTTTCACAGGATTTTACATATTCTTTCTTAGGCCTGATCACCCAGGGGACCTTCCCTTTCCAGCACAGGGCTGCACCACCCTCTGCTATTATTTCAGGCTTAAGTCAGGCAGGGGAAGTTAGACAGCCAAGAGATTAGGAGACTTCTCACTCTCACAGACAGAATGAGGACTCGGGCTATGTCAAAGCTGAGGGGCAAGGGTCCATCACCCCCTTTTGCTGTAGCCCTCCAAGTCCTTCCTTGGGGGCCTTCCACATGATCTTGCCTGTCTTAGGTCATTCCCCCCTTGGGGAATCTTACCTGTCATTGGCTAACTGACCAAGCACTGGGGACCAGTTATGGATGAAGTAAAAGGAGCAGAAGTGGTGCTCCTGCCAGGGAGATAAGCTTTGTCTTAGTGGCTTACAGTTCCAAGGTCGCTCCCTCATCCTTAGCCTTGTGGGGGGTTACAGCTTCTGAAACCAGGCAGGGCGGTTCCCAATACCTTTTCAATATTATTTTCTGCATGTACATACATATACATATTTTTATGCATGTTATAAAATTAGATCACACAGCAGAGCTTTTCAGCCTGCCTTTTCATTATGCAATAGGTCTTGAACATTTTTCTGTGACTGAAAGGGACTAACTGTGCTATCCAATACACTGACATGTGGCTATTGAGAACCTGAGATGTGGCTAGTCTGAACTGAGATGTACTGTATGTGAAAAATATACACCAGACTTCAAAGACTTAGCATGAAAAAAATGTAAAATACCTCACCCATAATTTTTTTATTGATTACATGTGGAAAACATATTTTGGCTATATTGGGTTAAATATACTATTACAATTAATTTCACTTATTTCTTTGGACTATTTTAATGTGGCTACTAGAAAAATTAAAATTATGCATATGGCTAGCTTTATATTTGTATTGGATAGCACTGTTCTAACAAATAAGATTTTACATGCAAATGCTTGTTCCTAGCACAGAGCTGATTGAAGAGCTTATTTTATCATGTCTCTCTTTCTCAGGGTGAGGTGCAGGCCCACCTTTGAGAAAAGAGCTGAATCTCCTCTGCACTGTACCCGTTGTCTGACATTAGCTGCAGTGAGCTCTCTTTGGGTGTGGGGCGGTGCTGCGGCTGCCTGCCGTGTTTAGAACACTCAGCTGTTCCCTCCGTAAACCGCAATGCGTCCTTTGGTACTTTCCAAGCTCTGTGCCAGAGCATCAGTGACAGCAAGGGATCTCTCCAGCAGAAGCTGCCTTTCTGGGCACGTGCGGAGCCAAGTCATTCAGAACTATGTTGAACCTCGCCAATTTCTCGGAACAGGAAGTCATTTTCAGATGATCACTCGAAGCATTTGCTTGGTGAATAACCACGCCACCGACAAGAAACCACAGCATTATTTTACAGTACCAGTCTCCGAACGTTTCCTTGGATTCTTATCTACATCTTGAATGCGGTCAGGTTGAAAGGACTACCCCAGATCCATACTTTTGTGATGGTCCGTTTCTAATTGTGACTCAGTAATCTTTTGTTTTTTGTTAAATTTGAAAGTAGAAATAAATTATATGTTAAAGAATGAATAGGTCTGCCCCCAAGGGTTGTCAAGTACTAGAACTGCTGCTATTTTAGGTCTCAGAGAGGTTTTTTGTTGTTGTTGTTGCTTTTTAACTGCTCGGTCCCTCACATTTTCTTAATTCACAAAATTATTCATGGCCTTTCCCACTGACACTATATCAAGGATTCATTATGTGGTTGAAAGGATTGAAATGGTTTTCCACTTTTTAGGAAAAGTGCTGACTTTGTTTCAGGGCCCATTCACTCCTCTTACCTCCTGGTGCTGTAATTCGCCTTTGGAGGCGGTGCACACACTTGCCCCACTGTGGGGAACCCCGCACAGGTGGGAGGGGCGGGTCCATCCAGCAGCACCGGAGCGCAGCGCATTAATGGAGGAGGCATGGCAGAAGTTTCCTTCAGATCTTATTCCACAAGTGACAGCTTTTCAACTAATTTTAGGTAACACTTTGATCTGGTGACTGTGAAGGTCAGGATAAAAAGATAAAGGAGTAAGACTATTGCTTTGCTTCTCCACCAGTCAAGGAATCCTTGCCTCCCTCACCTGGATATGTCTTTGGTTGAGGATCACTTTGAAAGGGACCGATTCAGGCCACTGTGAATACTGAATTAAAATCTAACTTCTGGTGTCTTCCACCCTGCTATCCAGGTTTTTTTTCTTGGGGGCATGCAGAAAATCCCACTCCTTTCATTGAGCCATCTTTTGCTCTAGTGTAGACCATGGGCTTGAGTCAGACTGCCTAAGTCTTCCTCAAACTTCCAGTATAAAAGGAATACTTCTTCATTTTATGCATATTCTCTACTTTTTCCATTGCACTTATCACCATCTGACATGTTTTTGTTTATTGTCTGTTCTGTCTTCTAGGAGGGCAGGTTCTTCTTCTTATTGGAACAGTACTTGGCATATTATAGGCATACAATACTCTCTGGTTTCATACTTTTATAGATCAGCAAGACCCCTACTCCATCCCATTATTTTCCTGAGAGAAAAAGAGCTTTCCCTCCAATTGTTTTAACAGAAGTTGTAGAAGTTGTAGTTTCATTGGTCTGGTCAGGACCCTTTGCCTGTCCCCAGCAAATAGCTGTGACCAAAGGGATAGGCTACAATGTTTGGCCCGTCTTGAGTTGTATGCCCAACTGGAACAGGTTTTGATTGTGCTAGAGCCACAGGGCTGGGAGTGGGGGAAGGTTGGCTTCTGGAGGGCAATCAAATATTGCTATTAGAAGTTGGAAGAAAGGATCACAGGGCAGGCAAAAAGGACAGAGGGGGGAATGAATGTTCATAGGTGTATCTGTCAGGTACTGTACATGTATTATCTCACTTAATTTGCAGCACGATCCCAACAAAGTAAAAGTGGCTACAGTTAGGGTGGTCGATGATAGCGGCTGTGAGAGAATTCACAAAGAGAAGAGAGTGTAGAGAATCGAGTTTTATTCACTTTCCAAGAAAGGAGAGGGGTGTGGTGTGGAGAGATACACCAGCGGCTCAAGGGTGGGGGCTTTGAGATTTTATTGGATTATAAATGGATTTAAAAACAGTGGAGGCATGTTGTTTTCAGGCCCCTGAGCTCTTGGGGGCGTTGTAACCCGAGGCTGCAGTTTGTTCCACTGTTATCTTCACCTGTGGCAGCAGGGAGTGGTTAGTTCTGTTCCTGCCTCCAGTAATTACCTGTTCTGGGGACAAGCTCAGAAAAGTAAAATGACAGTCATGTTTAACAAGGTTACAGGCCTGCTCAGCAAATGGTGGCACAATAGCAAGTGGCTCTGGATTTATCCTTTCAGCCACCATTTCAGAGAGGTGAAAGCAGACTTAGGAACATTAAGGTTTTGCCAGCTATGTGAGCTGGGACTCAAATCCAGGTCTGTTAGGCTCCAGAACAGAAACCATATATGCCATCTTCTCTATCTACCCCTTTCACTCAAGTTCTTTTCATGTATCACCTTCAGTTAGTCACCATGAATTTTTGTGATTGGCTGTGTGCTTTCCTGTTCATGCGGTGTTACTAGGTAACCACTCAGCACTGGATCTAGGCCAGGTTCTGTTCTCTCAGTTGTGCCTATCTTTATCACATTCTCCTGACCAATTTTATCTTAACAGATTCTCCACCTCTGCCCACCTCTCCATTAGACTGGGACAGCTCCCTTTACATCTCTTTCATGCCTTCTCTGAAGCTTTCCCTGTGAACTCTGAAATTTATTATCATCCTTGTGAACTCTGAAATTTATTCCTGGTCTCTGGACCAATGGTGGGAGTGGGAATGGAAAAGAAATGGCAACAAATTACCACCTGGACAAATCCCATATAAAGATTTTTGGCCGGGTAAACCTTTGATAAAAAGCCTTAATAAATACTGCTGGGGTATAAACCAACTTCTGACCTCAGTGAGCACTTTTCGATGTGGCTGAAAGGTTTCACTAGCCAGAGTGACTGTTAAATTGAGGACAAAGACTTTCTGAGAAAGTGCACCTCACTGAATATCTGTCCTACTGTGTAGCAGAGTTTGGTACATAATAAGCCCTCATTCAACTGTATGTTAAATCAATACCCTGTATCTTTTGTGCCCCAGTGTATCTTCCACAGTGCTGGCTGAATTGATTTTTAAAAATCAATATTTATTTATTTTTAGGCAGAGGGAAGGAACAAAGAGGGGGAGGAAAATATCAGCGTGAGAGGAAAATAAATACCATTTTATTTTCCAACCATTGGTTGCCTCTAGTAGGAGCCCTGACTGGAGAACAAACCCACAAATCAGGCATATACCCTAACCAGGAACGTGAATCTCTTCTTTGCGGGAGGATGCCAACCAACTGAGCCACACCCGTCAGGGCATCTGCAGAAATGATTTAAATAATGACTTACAAATCCAGGTTCTTTCAATAATAACCAAGCTTCACACTGCTAGGGCATAAGAGCCTTGCCCTTACACACTACTTTTAATAAACTTCTAGTTGCCTTCCTTAAAAACACTTGTGTTTTACTTAAAACCGCCACACAAATACTTCTATCTAAATTTGCTCAGTTCTGCCTGTCAGGTAATTGCTCCCATAGTCACCTGGAATTGGTATCAAGCTGTTTACACTTGTCTCATCTGATAGGCTCTGAAGTCCTAGAACTCGGCTGTCTTATTCACCCTTTACCTAAACCAAACTGTTATTCGCGTAAGGGTAGTTATGATAATGAAAATGTCGGTTTCTGCACGTGGTCCAGGCAATCCATGGGCCCAGAAAGGTGTATTTGTACATTTTAAATAATTTACATATTAAATATCTCTGAATTCTCTAATAAGATCATATCAACTCTGTATTAGTAAGATAAGTGTCTCCCGTTTAGTAAGGAAATCAACTCAGAAGGTCAACTCCGGAATCGAAGGTCACACGCAATCTAATCACGCAGGCGAACTTCAGCAATGAACACCGGGAGGAGCTCCAGAGGCCTTTTGTACTCTTTCGGCCACCGTCTTCGGGTCCCTTCTGCTGCTCCTGTCTAAGCGCCTGCGCGCTGGTGGAGCGTCGTCCATTTCTCCAACTGGAAGGACGTTGGTGTTGAGGCAAGTTGTGTTTTGTGTCCCTCGTTCGGGTTCCCAGAACTGCCGCCTCCGTTGCTTGAACCTCAGCTATGAGCGGCGTGAGGAGCACTAGAGGCTGTCTTGGATTTGAACCGTAATCAGTATCTCGGAGGCCCGGGAACCTCGGACCTTTCGCTCGCGTCGGCCCCTGCAAGACCCCCGTCCGGGCCTCAGGAGGGCGGTGGGGATACTGCGGGGACCGCGCTGGGGCCTCGAGGAAGCAGCCCGGCTTCGGGGGCGGCGGGACCGCACCCGGAGGCACTGTACTTTTCCCCCCAGTCATTGTGACCTTGGTTAGGTCATTTGACCTGTATGACCCGAGTGTTTTCCCTTTACTTGACTCAGTCATCACTCGGGTAAGGAAGCAGCCAGCAACGTCTTCACTCGGTCGGCGTTCGCTGTGTGGTAGTGTTTAAGGGTCACCGTGCCTGTGGCAGGAGGGAAGGCTGGGTTCCTGCAGCACCGCTTGCGCGCCCATAGCCGTTCCACCAGCCTCCCCGCTGCGTTAGGGGAAGGAAGGTCTGCGCTGGGGCCTGGGGCCTGGGCCCTGGGGTTAGGCCGCGCAGCGCTGCGGTCTCCAGGTGGGCCCTCCAGCCAACTGTTGGGTATCCTGTTCGAGTTTTAGTCTTCGTGTGCCCCGGTGTCCTCATCTATAAAGTGGGAGTAATAACTTGTTTCATAGGGTTGTCTCGGCGATTGAAGGAGTTGATAGTAAGTTTGTGGAAGAGTCGGTGCTATAAATGTGTTTGCGCTTGTCAACCTAGAGCCACTGCTTACCTTTCCTGTAGTTGGGAGGGGTTTTTGTTTGTAGCATTCGTTTCTTATACACTATTGTGCTGCAGATATTTTTCGTTCAGCACGTGAGGGGTGGGGAATGAAGCTAGAGTGGGAGTTCAGAACAAGTCACCCAAAGGTGTGCTCTGGTGTGCGGATTGTTTTGAGCTGAGGGTAGTTTTCAGTTTCAGGCAGAAGAGAAACTTCAGCTGCCCCCTTTAACTACCTAGAACAACTTGAATTGGAGGCTTTGCCCATAACAAGCGATTATCATCCATAATGTCTTTTTGACCTACCTATATGGCTAGGCTTTTATTTACTAAACATCTGTTCTTATCCTGCTGTGACCCTTTGAAGCCCCCAAGGTGTATTACCTCATCCCTAGCTCAGGATGTCTTATACCATGTCCCCCTTTCTATCTCTGAACCTCTTCTGCAGTGGGGTTCCCATACATTTGAGTGTATTGAATCCAGTTATCGTCTCCTGCTAATCTGTCAAATGTCTATTTACTTATTAGACCAGTCAAGGGTCCAGGAAAGTTTGTTCCTCCCCTACAAGCCTAAGCCATTAAACATCTTAGGCTTTGTGGGAGGAATCAGTCCACCAGCCATTCTTCCTGTGCCTCTTTAGGTATTAAAATGCATTATGCATAAGAATTCTTTCAGATAACTTATTTTGTTCTAGTAACTTAATTTTTTTTTTTTTTATCTACCAAGGAGAATACAACGACCATGTCTTCTAGTGCTTTGACAAAACCTCAGATGCGCGGCCTCCTGGCCAAGCGTCTGCGATTTCATCTTGTGGGAGCCATCCTTGTATCCCTGGGGGTTGCAGCTTCCTACAAGGTTTGTATGTTTGATTCTTACTTCGTCTGTATGGTCCCAAATGTGTTTTAAATTAAAAAGTGTATTTTATTTTAATAAGCAATTTAGAGTCTTTTAAAGACTTTAATGTGCTTCCCCTGAGTCTTCCTCCATTCACCTCTTGTGATAGGAAAGTGCCTCATTCCTGAAATAACCTGTTCTCCATTTTAAATGAAGCTGTATTATTGGGTTGGCCAAAAAGTCTGTTTAGTTTTTTTCCATAAAATAAAAGACACATTTTTCATTTGCACCAATAACTTTATTGATTTGGATAATTTGAGGTTTTGGCTCTCTCCTTCCTGGTATAACATTGATTGTTCTCAGTGTCTCGATTTAATCGCTGTCAACTTCAACAGGTTGACCCAACTGTAGAGCATCGTCCAGTTAGAAATCTCCAGCACGAAACTTTGCAAACCACGTTTGAAATGTTCTATCAGTCACACAGCATCTTCTCCACACACTGCACACATCTTTTTTTGTTTCAGTTGTGTTTTTTACCTTTCTTGAAATAATAAAGCATGATATGCTGAAAATGTTGCTTATTTTCTTCTATCTTCAGTATTGCCTACACAAAAGTTCACCAATTTTGATAAGTTTTTTTTAATGCACACTGACCTGATAAGCTCTCACATGATCTAACAACATTGTTTCGAATGAAGTTAAAGACAACTAAGCGCTACTGGAGCCATCTTATGGAAGAAAGCAAATGACCTTTTTGGCTAACCCTGTAGTTTGCTAGGGCTTCCATGACCAAGTACCACCGACAGGGTCATTTAAACAACAGAAATGTTGTTCTGGAAGCTAGAAAACCAGGGTGGTTCAGGGTTGATTTTTTCTGGGGTCTTTCTCCTTGGCTGGTGTATGGCTGTCTTTGTCTTCACTTGGTCCTGTGTGTTAGCGTGTCTCTCTCTGAATTTTCTTGTATAAGAACACTAATCATTGGATTTATTCCCCACCCTAACAAAAAACCTCCATTTAATTGCCTTTTTAAAGACCTTATCTCCAAACATTGAATTTGGGAGACACAATTCAGCCCTTGATACAGGCCATAATTGTGGGCGCTAACAGCAACAACAAAAAGGTTATTTTTAGGCCAGGATTTTTTCTTTGAGATGGGGTGGAAAGGGCCCATCCTGCTTGACCAGGAAATTCCAGCTGGTTGATTAAGATCGTCTCTGGAAGAGGTTGAAACAGCAGTTTGGTCAGGTCTTAAAGCTAGATTTGGTATCCTGGGCTTGGACAGAAGTGCCGTTTTGGGCCTCTGGCTTTCTTTTTGATGGTACTTTCAAGAATTGTTGCCACAGAATTTCATCTTAATGCTTTGCCTTGTATAGATTTTAATGTTTTGCCTTTTTAAAAAATAATTTTTTTATTGGGACAAAATACATAAAACAAAATTTAACCAATTTTGAGTGTATGGTTCAGTGGTATTAAATACATTCATCATGTTGTACAGCCTTTTAGATTTCTGAATATCTTTTTTGGGTTCCCCAGTCTACCACCCATGTGCCCTAATGCAGACACTCAACAAGGAATGGTACCTCCCTTGGCAAGGAGGGAGCTTCTTGCTGAGTACCGTATTTTTTGGACCATAAGATGCACCTAGGTTTTAGAGGAGGAAAATAGGAAAACAAATTTTGGAGCAAAAAATGTAAAATATTTAATAACATAAATAACCTAATATTTCACCAATGTAAATAGAACTCAACAGCAGCATTAACAACCATTATTCCTCCCAAATGGGGCGGCGGGGGTGCATCTTACAGTCTGAAAAATACAGTAGTTTCCTTGGGGCTTCTTTCTCTTCCTTGTATCTGTGTCAGTGTCTCTATCCTTTGTCTTGGGAAATAGAGGATTCATGTTCAAGGTAAACAAATGTACTGTGATTTATGTTGTCTTCAGATAATAACTTTCTAATAATCTAAAAAATAAGCTGTAATGGGATATGCTACTTTTTAGTTTGGTGTGGCTGAAAGAAGAAAGAAGGCATATGCAGATTTCTACAGGAATTATGATTCCAAGAAAGATTTTGAGGAGATGAGGAAGGCCGGTATTTTTCAGAGTGCAAAGTGATCTTGGAATGTAAAGGTAATATGATTATTTTAAGTTACTATTTAAGTAACTATTAAGTTACTATTGTGGTATAATACACATAAAATTTACCATCTTAATTACTCTTTTAAATGTATAATTCGATATTGTTAAGCATATTCATTCACATTGTGGTACAGCCAATCTCCAGAACTCTACACATCCTGCAAAACTGAAACTCCGTGCCATTCAAACAGTTCTCCATTCCCTCCCACTCCTGGCAGCCACTGTTCTGCATTGCACAGTGTTTGTGACTGCTTATTTCACTTAGTGTAATGTCCTCAAGGTTCATCTGTCACAGCCTGTCACAGTTTCCCTTTTCAGACTATTGTATTTTATGTGCATACCACATTTTGTTCAGTTATCTAACAGACACTTGGATTGCTTCCTTTTTTTGATTGTTGTGAACAGTGCTGGTATGATGTTATAAATATCTCTTTGAGATCCTGCTTTCAATATTTTTGAGTAAATAGCTAGATGTGGAGTTCCACTTTCAGTTTTTTAAGAACCTGCCATACTAAATTACATAGTGGGTAGACCCTTTTACTCTCCAACAGTAGTGCAAAAAGGTTCTAATTTTTCCAGATCCTTGACAAACTTTTTTTCTGTTTAATGATGTAGAGCAGGGGTGTCAAACCCATTTAAACTGGGGGCCACATCATCTTCATGGTTTGCCTTCAGAGGGCCGAATGTAATTTCAGCTCCTTAACAGTTAAGGAGTAGTTACATTTATATAATCCTAAAACTATTTCTAGCTTTTGAAGGCACCCGTGAGGCTGATGTGGCCCCCTGGTGAAAATGAGTGTGACACCCAGATGTAGAGCATTTTTTATCATGCTTATTGGCCATTTGTATATGTTATTTGGAGAAATGTCTATTCAAATCCGGTGTCTCCTTTTAATTTCATTGACTTTTTGTTGTTATTGAGTTGTAGAAATTCTTTAATTACCTATCTTTGTGGGTAATTTTTTACTATATTTGTGAGAGGGTATTTGGGGGCTCTATTCCATTGCATCAGTTTATATTTCTTTATGCCAGTACCGTGCTATTTTGATTACTGTTGCTTTATATTAAGTTTTGAAATCAGGTAGTGTTAGTCTCTAACTTTGTCTTCTTTTTTATGATTGTTTTGGCTGTTCAGGGTACCTTGAAAGTCATTATGAATTTTAGGATGGATTTTTCTATTTCTGCAAAAATTCTGTTGGGACTTAGTAGGAATTGCATTTTATATGTAGATCACTTTGGATAGAATAGGCATCTTAATTGTAAGTATTCCAGTTCATGAGCACAACATATCTTTCCCATTTATTGGTCTCTGATTTCTGTCAGTGTTCCGTAGTATACAAACCTGGTGGTCTCTGTGGTGGTTTATTCCTAAGTATTGAGTTCTTGATGGTTGTTGTAATTTTCTTTTCTGATTATTCATTGTTAGCGTACAGCAGCAACAAATTTCGGTTGATTTTTGTATTTGGCAACTTTGCTGAGTTCCTGTTTTGTGTGGAATCTTTAGGGTTTTCTGTATATCAGGTCATCTTTATTTCCTTTTCTTGCATTCTTGCTCTGGCTAGGACTTCAGTGCTATGCCGAATAGAAATTGTAAGAGTGGGCATCCTTATCTTTTCTGATAGAGCCTTATGTTGATATAGTTTCATTCTGTTAGTGATTTGGTTCAGTGTTTTTGTAATGAAAAGGTAATGAATTTTTCTAATGTTTTTTTCTGTACCAATTAAGATCATGTTGTTTTTGTCCTTCTTTCTGCGGTGTGTTACATTGACTGAATTTTGTTTGTTGAATCATCCCGAATCAACATTTGCTATGTTGACCAGGAGTAAATCCCACTTGGTTGTGGTACATGATCTTTTTAATGACTGTTGGATTCTGTTTGATAGAGTTTGGTAAGGATTTTCACTCCATACTCATCAGGATATTGGGTAGTTTCTATTGTAGTCTGGCTTTGGTATCAGGATAGTGCTGGCCTAGTAGAGTGTGTGTGGCCACAACAGGAGACACGGTATGGGCTGTCTCTCTCCACCCAGAACTGTTTTTTAAGATGTCAGAATATTTTTTAAGAAGTCAGAATATTTTAATGTACAGAAAATAAAAATAAACAATACATAGAGTGAATTTGGACGTGTTCCTTCCTCTTCAATTTTTTTGGAAGAGCTTGAGGATTGGTGATAATTTAAATATTTGGTAGACTATTGTGAAGCCATCCAATCCTGGGCTTTTCTTTCAGAGGTTTTTGATTACTGACTCAATCTCTTTACCAGTCTGTATAATCTGTGTCCACTTCATTCCGTGGTAGTTTTTGTGTTTGTATGCATCAATTTCATGTAGGTTATCTGTTGACAATACAATTGTTTATAGTATTTTATAACCCTTTTTATTTATGTAAAATCGACTGTAATGCCCTTTTTGTTTTCAGTTATTTGTGTCTTCCATTGTGATAAGAAAAGATACTTTGTATGATTTCAGTCTTTTAAAATCTAGTAAGTTCTTTTTCTGTCCTGCACAATGTTACAAATGCAGTTGAAAACACTGTGTTTTCTCTTTTGGGGTAGAATGTTCTGTGTCTGTCAGGTCCAGTTGGTATGTAGTATTCAAGTTCTCTGTTTTGTTAATGATCTTCTGTGTAGTTCTTCTAGTGATTATTGGAAAAGTGGGATATTGAAATTGCCTACTGTTATGGTAGTAGAGCTGTACATTTCTCCTTTCAGTCCTGTTAGTGTTTGCTTCATGTATTTGGAAGCTCTGATATTTAGTGTCTATGTATTTTTAATTGCCCTGTCTTGGTGAATTGACCCTTTTATCTTTGTACAGTACCTTCCTTTTGTCTTGTAGTATTTTTTTGATTTAGTCTATTTTGTCTGATAATAGTGTAGACATCATTGCTCTTTTACTGGTTGTATGGACTATATTTTTCCATTCTTGCACCTTCAACCTATGTGCCCATGGAGCTAAAGTGAATCTCTTGTACATAGCATATATTTGGATTCTGTTTGTATTCATCTTTTGATTGAGGAGTTTAAATCATTTACATTTAAGGAAATTATAGGGAAAGATAGTCTATTGTCTTTTGTGGATTGTTTCTCTATATCATCTATTTTATCTTTCAGTTCCTTAATACCTTCCTTCGTGTTTGATTTTTTAAGTGACATTTTGATTTCTTTCTCATTTATTTCCTTTTGTGTATATTCTATGAACGTTTTCTTTGTGGCTACCATTGGCATTACATAAAATATGCTAAAATTAAACTGATAACAATTTCAATCACATGCAAAAATTCTACTCTTTACAACTTGCTTTCCAAGTTGTATTCTTACAAGTTGTATTCTGTGAATACAACTTTATTCACAGATTTATATATTATGCGCTCATTAACAGATTTTTCATGCTTTTGTCTTTTAAATCCTACTAAATTAAAAGTGGAGTTATAAAACAATTTATAATACTGGCTTTTATATTTGTTTATAGATTTACTTTTATCAGAGATTTTTATATTTTCACGTCTTTGAGTTACTTGTTCCTTCTGCATGCTTTTTTTTACAATATACAGATGATGTATTATAGAATCGTACACCTGAAACCTACATAATTTTATTAACAAATGTCACCTGTATAAATTCATTAAAAAGCAAAAAAAGACCCAGAAATGCCTAAGTATCCTTGTTCCATCTCTGCTTTCTAGAAACATTTGCTGTTGTTATTCTCTACTTTCACTATGCTGACTTCTGGTTAATCTGGGCTCCCCAGTACCTCCCTTCTACTCCATTTCATTTTTCTTTTTAAAGTATATTTTATTGATTGCGCTATTACACTTGTCCCATTATTTTTCTCCCCTTTATTCCCCTTCGCCCTGCACTCTCCCCCAGCATTCCCCCATATTAGTTCGTGTCCATGAATTGTACATACAATTCTTTGGCTTCTATATTTCCTATACTGTTCTTAACCTCCCCCTGTCTATTTTGTGCCTATCAATTATGCTTCTTATTCCCTGTACCTTTCCCCCATTCTCCCCACTCCTTGCTGATAACCCCCTATGTGATCTCCATTTCCGTGATTCTGTTCCTGTTCCGGTTGTTTGCTTAGTTGTTGTTGTTGGGGTTTTTTTTTTTTAGTTTCAGTTGTTGATAATTGTGAGTTTGTTGTCATTTTACTGTTCTTAGTTTTTGATCTTATATTTCTTAGATAAATCCCTTTAACATTTCATGTAGTAGAAGGGCTTGGTGATGATGAACTCCTTCAACTTGACCTTATCTGAGAAGTACTTGATCTGCCCTTCCATTCTAATTGATAGCTTTAATGGACAGAGTAGTAGGTGCTTGCTTTTCATGACTTGGAATACTTCCTTCCAGCCCCTTCTGGCCTGTAATGTTTCTTTTGAGAAATCAGTTGATAGTCTTATGGGAACTCCTTTGTAGGTAATTGTTTCCTTTTCTCTTGCTGTTTTTAAGATTCTCTCATTTTTAATCTTGGGTAATGTAATTATGATGTGTCTTGGTTTGTTTCTCCTTGGATCCAACTTCTTTGGGACTCTGAACTTCCTGGACTTACATGTCTAGTCCCTTTACCAGATTGTAGTTCTCCTTCATTATTTATTCAAATAAGTGTTCAATTTCTTGCTCTTCCTTTTCTCCTTCTGGCAACCCTGTGATTTGGATGTTGGATAATTTAAAGTTGTCTCAGAGGTTCCTAAGCCTCTCTTTATTTTTTGAATTCTTGTTTCTTTATTCTTTTCCTGTCGAATGTTTATTTCTTCCCTTTGTTCCAAATCATTGATTTGAGTCCCAGTTTCCTTCTCTTCACTGTTGGTTCTTCCTTTATTTTGTGACCATATTCTACCATTTCTGTGAGCATCCTGATTACCAGTGTTTTGAACCCTGCATTAGATAGGTTGGCTGTCTCCTTGTCACTTAGTTCTTTGTGTGGAGTTTTGATCTGTTCTTTCATTTGGGCCATATTTTTTTTTGTCTTGGTGGACCTGTTATGTTTTAAGGGGCGGAGCCTTAGATATTGGCCAGGGTGGGGCAATAGTTTGCTACATTGTGGTGCTGTATATGGGGGAGGGGTCAGAGAGAGAACAATGCCACTTGCTTGGCTCTGGCCCCACTTTCTGTCACTTCCCTTGCTTCCCACAAGCAGATTGTGCCTTTCAGGTGCTGATTTCCTGGTGGGCGGGCTTACGTACTTTTTGGATCCCACGGGTCTCTCCAGTGGACTCCCCTGTGAGACTGGGAGTTTGTCCCACCACCTCAACCTCCACAGGTTTTTACAACCAGAGGTTTTGAGGCTTTACTTCCCTGTGCTGGGACCCTGGGTTGCGTAGTGTGTCTAGCTCCCCAGTTGTGCCTCCCAGTTTATCCGCCTGCAAATGTGGGACCGCCCACTCTGCCAACCCCAGCCCTGTCGCACCTCCTCTCTGCACTCCCGCCAGTCTGGATGAACGTTTCTTCTGTAATTCATTGGTTGTTGGACTTCCATACAGTTCGATTTTCTGGCAGTTCTGGTTGTTTTTTGTTTTTAAATTGGTTGCTGTCCCTTTGGCTGTGCGAGGAAGCTAAGTGTGTGTGCCTGTGCCTCCGTTTTTGCTGGAAGCCCGTGTGCTTGGTTTTACTTCAACTTGCAACTTCACTGCAGGCCTAGTAGTGGTGACCTCCTGTCCTTTAGCTGTTGTTTATCTGGGAATGTCTGGAATTCCTCCCTTATTTTTGAAGGACAGTTTTCCTGGACATAGTAGTTTCCTTTGACAAGGGTTTTTTTCCTGAACACTGTAAATATATTACCTGAAAGCCTTCTGACCTGCAAGGCCCATGCTCAGAAGTCCACTGATAATGCATTCACAGGCTCCTGTGTAGGTTGTGAAATCGATGTTTCCCTTTGGTTTTTGACAGTTTGATTACAATGTATGTGTGTCTTGGTGCGGATCTCTTTGGGTTCATCCTGCTCTCTGCCCCTTTGCTTCTGGGCTTTTGTAGTGCACACATTGGTCCTTTGGTGGTGCTCCATGAGTCCTTTAAGCTCTTTTTCACTAGTTTCTTCTTGCTTCTTAGACTCAGTAATTCAAATGAACTGTTCTCAGGTGTGTTTGAGTCTGTTCAATCCCTCTGGTGAATTTCTCAATTCAGTTACTGTAGAATTTTGATTTTTTAAAATATTTTTCTTTGTTGATACGCTCATTTTCTTCAAGTATTGTTTTCCTGATTTTATTTAGCTGCCTGAGTTTTCCTTAGCTTATTGAGCATATTTAAGACAGTTTTAAAGTCTTTGTCACGTAAGTCAGAGGCATGTGTTTTTCAGTGATGGTTTCTGGAGGTTTTTGTTCCTTTGAATGGGTCGTGTTTTTCTGTTTCACGATTTTTTGTTGAAATTTAGGCATGTGATTAAAAGGCCACCATTCCCATTGTTTGCAGGCTTGCCTCATGTGGGAGAAGATCTTAAATAAACACCCCGGCATCAAGGCTAGGGTTGTCTCAGACTTTTCTGGGGTTATGTCTTCTGAGCCTTTGCCGGTGCTTTCGTTCTAGTTCCCTGGGAGTGTATAGTTGGTTGCTTTAAGTGTTCCTAAGAGTCTCACCCCTTCATTTAAGTAGCCTTAGCAGTTCTTTTGTATTCCTCAGCCCTTGCTCACTGGTGCCCACGAGTCTGCAGCCCCACTGCAGCGCTCCTGTGTCGTGAGACCGGCACTGCTTTCTGCAGCTTGCTGTCTGGTGTCTACACTGTGTCACCATTTCCATCCATGCTCTGAGATAGACAGATAGAAAACAGTCCTCAAACAAGCAAAATGTTGCAAGTTCTACTCCTTGTCCTGAGGGTGAAGCCAGGAATTGATAAATTAGCTTCCTCCTGACCACACTGCCTCACTGAAGAGAGGGGATGGAGGAAGGGTGAGAAAAATGTCGTGAAATTTCCCGCTGTTTTGAGTGGCTGCTGCTTGTTTGAGGGTTTGTGTGGTTGCAGCAGCTTCGTAACTGGTCTCTAGAGTTCTTACAAAGACACACTGGTCTGTATGTTGATGCTTTTTGTGTGTGGGAGTGGGAGTCTGGACTTCATAGCCCACCATCTTGTTAACTTGGAGTCATAGTTATTTCAGATGTTATGCTGCTATTAATTGCTGGATTGGCATTAGGAAAATTACACTTTCAGAAGTGCTTTAAAAAGTTTTTGACACCTTTTGTTGGTTGGGTGTCCATGAGTGACTTGGTGGCTTCCCATAGATTTTGGTTTGGTCTGTCATACCCACAAAGTGCCTACGCATCCCTGACAGTGTGTGTGACGGTTTTACATCTAGAAAGGGACCGAAGGGATTGTGTGCTGATGAAAGGTCATCCACACCTGAAAACTGTTCAAATGCAGGAATCTTATTCGTGTATTTTTTATTCAAGCTCAACAAAATCAAGATAGCACAATTTAAGTAGAGTTAAAGATTCTGCTACTCCAGTGTGAGTTTGGTGTGACCAGGGGAATGTGGACCAGCCATTTTGTCAGGCAGACTGGACCAGAATGAGCATTCCAGATGCCGTGTGGACAGTGTGTATCTTTTCCCAGGACTGGGGGTTGAGGGACCTGTTGCACAGGACTTAGGCCAGTTTTCAGGGGTGATTTTGAATAAGTAACTTTTGCCTAATAAAAGATTTGGTTCTGCAGTCCCTTTCTATAGTTGTTCATCTTGAATATCTGAAGTACAGATAGATGCATACACTAATTAGCCATAGAATCACTTTGAAAAAGTGCAAAGAACTTTATTTCCAATTATCAGAAAGTTGATGAGGAATTATGCCTTTTTCATGCCATGACTATTAGGTACATTTGATAATTCACAAGGTAACATGAAGAGATTATTTTAAGGTAGAAATTAAGAATGTTAAGGATGATCTATGTTAAATAGATTGCACAGGAAAAAAAGGCTGAAGGTAAAAAGGTCAAGAAAATATTAATGGTTCTGTGTGGAATCTTTACCATTGCTATTTTCCTCTAACTTTGAAATTTAAAAATTTTTCATAGTGGGTGTGCATTTCATGATCACGTGTTAAAAGGATGATTTTAAATGTTAAGAGTTTTTACCTTTTTTGTATAAGAAATGATTGTGTTTAAAAACCAGTAAGAAAAAGAAAAACAGATTTGGAAAGAGAAGTAGAAATTGTTACAGGGGAGTCCAGCCTGTGGTCCCGGGGCTGCATGTGGCCCAGGCTGGCCCTGAATGCGGCCCAACACAAAATTGTAAATTTACTTAAAACATGAGATGTTTTTTGAGATTACGTATATTTAATGTGTGGCCCAAGACGACTCTTCTTTCATTGTGGAGCAGAGACTCCAAAAACTTGGACAGCCCTGGTAGAACATATGGGTTGCTGCTTTTAACAGTGTGTGGGTATGAGATGGGAATTACTGGATTATGGGACTTGAGAGAGAACACAATAGTTTCTGGAAAGTGAAAGCAAACAGCCAGAATAAGGTGTGGTAATGCCTGAAATTGAAGAGAGGCTGGTCAGAGAGCTTGGTGAATGGACCTGGAGCCCAGGTAGTCTGAACTGGGCTTCTCTGGGGCTAAAGGTGACTGAGCAAAGTGCGGGCCACTCAGGGGATCTCAAGAATGGTGAGATATTGAGAGAGTGCTTGTCGTGAACTTAGCCACTGTGTTTTTCTCCACAGAATTTCTCTGGGGTGAATTCCGTGGAAGGCTGTCACTGACTTGTGTTCCTTCTGAACTATGAAGCATGAATATTTGAGCTAAGAAAAAGTTTCTCTTGTTAAATAAACAATTAAGAATTACTGTGGACAGTAAGTCTTTGCTCATTTATTCTTAATGATCTAATTCTGGGCACTTACAGTCAGAATTGGTTAGGGATTTTAACTGTGGACCTTTTGAAGATAAACTTTATTTCATTATTAAAAATTTCATTATTTTAGGACATTTTTTATTACCCTAATGTTTCATCCATTTCATTGAGATATTAATGCTAAGTACAGTTTTGGTCCTGGGTCATCAACTTAAGGGGTAGCCATGAGTCCACCTGACTATTATTCTGTGGGGTCTTAAGACAGAGATTGTCTTTACAATAAAATGTTCTTGGGCTTTATTGTCACTGGTAGCCCTACTGGATCGACTACCAGACAGATGCAACAGGTGATTGAAATTTAAGGTTCTTTACTTAGTGTTGCTTTATCACAGCTAATGTTATGTGCATGCAACTTGGAATACACGTGTAGTCCTGTTAGTTACTTAACCAGAATTGAGTGGTGCCTGCTAATGACTAACAGTATGCTAAGTTTTTGAAAGACGTCTTAGGATTTTTCTCCCTTTTATCTTCTTTGTTATGATCAAAATAATATCACAGCTTTAAAAATCAAGTTTATCCAAAGCTAATTTAACTGTCAAACTTTATTTTTTTTAACTCAAAAATTCTTTATTTTTAATAACGTGAGCTGAATTAAACCCAGGTATAAGTGAAAACCTGCATTAAAAAAAATCGGTGACAGTACACATTTAGGTGTGATCTTTAATTCAAGGATTCCTTTTATTTTAAAGTTTTATGTAACAGTTCTTAGGTAGTATGCAAAATTACCATAAAAGATATAAGAATTAATACATATTTACATTCTTAAAAATAGTTACTCTTGAGGTTAATTGGTAAAACTGAGTTTCCTAAATGAGTATGATACAGCAAACCGATGGAGGAACCATTTTCATAGTCAGACTGGCATATTGACAGCCTTGCTTCCCAGACACAACTATGTGTGCAGTGACTTCCCAGTAACAGGTGACACTTTAAAGATCAGTGGACCTTTGAAATTGAATTTTCTTAGTGTCTCACAATTGTAGCTAATAGGTTGTAGGCCCAAGTTTAGAATCAGTCAGTAAAAATGTGTTTCATTGCAGTCTTTGAGATATTTACTGAATATTAAAATACTTTATGACCCAGGATCTTGAGCCAAACCCATTGTTATATGCAAAATAAGTCAATTCAGCAAAATAAACTATTTGGTCTGATTCATTCTTAAGGTTAATGTTGGAGTTCTTGACTCCCCTCCAGTATACCAGGCCAGTGTGAGTCCTTCTGCTAAACCCCTTCCACAAGGGAATGTGAGAGTAGTTCCTAGTAGTGTGTTTTGTTCATGAAACTAGAGAGACTCACTTGAATACTTTGGGTCTGTTTTCACTGGTAGACACAAAGATTTACTCTAAGCTTTACCAGTAAAACAAACTGGAAAAACGTTTTTCCAGAACGTACCTGGACAGGCATCAGAATGTTTGCAGTCAGTAAACATTCTTTATACAGGCATCAGTAAAATGCAGACTTCACACTGCAGCTTTCACTTAAAGAACAGCATCACATGAGTAACAAATTGAGCAAGTTAATAAAATCCTAAACATTTAATTTCACCTAAAGACTCCACAAATTTTTGCAGATGAGGGTATCAGGCAGACAATATCTAAACCTAAAATTAGATGCCCCTAGATAGGAAGTTTTAGTATTTCCATTCTAAGGCCTGACCACATTTTACATTAGAGCTGAGTGTTAAAAGATCTTAATTATAGTTGAAATTTTAGCAAATATAGAGCAAAAGAGACTATTTTCTACTTATGATAAGATAACCTACAGGATTCTGTTAGGCACTGTCCCCAAATAGGAAAAGGTTTTATCACTCCCCTTTATTAAAGTATCTTAGTTTTAGGGAGAGGGAAGAATCTGAATCAATTTTAGAAAAGGCTAGAAAGTTACTGTAACTGCAGAGAAGTGTTGGCCTCATGTCCATGTTAGATGCCAGAGCGTTTTTACTCAGAAGTAAACTGCACCAGCAGGAACCAGTGCCTCAGAGGAGGGAACTCAGGGGAACCCTTTCCTCAGGGCCTTATTTTTCACCATGGTAAATCTACTAATGAAGACTTGAGCAAAAGGTGGGTCTGCCATGTAATGGTATGTTTTCACCGTGGAGGGGAGAGGTTCCACTGGCACCACAGGGCACGGCGTCTGCGTGGAAGAGCAGCTGGGGGCCAGGTGGCAGGATGTCTTTGTGATGTAGTCCACGAGTCGGTTGTACTGCTGCTCCGACAGCCTCTCTCGGACTCCATCCACCTGGGGTTCCAAGATAAAAGACTGTTTAGTTGCCAAACTCTATTCATAAGGAGACTTCCATAACAAAATTACTCCTTTTCTTGATCCACTTGATACATTTTTAGGTTGTCTAATAAAGCCACTTCATCCAAAACAGTGCTTTTGTTTTTCCTCTGAATGGTGATGATAGCACTGCAATTTCAGCAGTGTAACATTAGAGCTCTGCATGAGGGTTTAAAGACAGCTTCCTCTGAATAAGGACTTGGTATTACGTACAGTTTCCATGTTTCGAGTTGATGAGAACATTTTACCCATCAACTATTAAAACATCTGTCATTGTTCTTTCTTAACCAGCCCAGGAACAAAGAGGTGCCCTTCCTCTGCTTAAATCTAATCACCATTAAAAGCTCCCTGAAATAAAAACTGTCTGCCTGTCTCCTCATTCTTCTTCGGACAGAGCCTTTTTAGTGAGAAAACGTGGGGCAGAGGCACCTCTTTCAAACCAGTGGCTTTGGACACAGCATTAAGAAAATACCTTTTGAACTGTAACATTTACTGTTTTTATAAATACTAGGATTTAAAGCCAGAGAAAATAAAACTGGGCAGAGGAAGGGGAAATTTTTATGGGAAAAAGGAGGATGCAAACTACATTTATGGTTCATAAAAGTCTGGCTCATCTTCAGTGGAATTCAAAAGAACGGAGATACACTACCTAAGTTCTTAAGTGAGATTTTCTGAGAAAGCATCCATCAAAGGCAGTGGGAGCCATAAATTTTCCCACCTTGAAGCTAGCTGGTGTGTATGGACATCAGGTGGCGTGGTGAGTTGCCAGTGTAACTGCTTCTCTGTGGGAGTCAGGTAACCACTGCCCTTTCAGTGGCCTTTACCTGCTAAGTGCTGGCACGACCACTCTGGAAGAACTAAAAACATTTCAAGGAGGGCTCTTTAGTTCTCAAAGTAGCAGTGTAAAGAATTTGTATATTTTGTGTACGGCACAAACAGGTGTGGCCAAGGATGTCTTCACCAGAAGCCAGTGGATGGTAGAGAGTGAAAGGGGCCTGCCAGGGTTCGGGTCTCGTGTTTTTAGCAGGGGAAGGGAAACGAAGGCCCCCAAAGATTCCCTGACACGTGAAAGCTGCACCACCAGGCAAAAGCCAGAGTTCGGATACCACTTTGCTGGGGTCACAATTCAGCTGGAAAGCTAGCTCTGAATACACAAAAGTCTTAGCGGCTCCTCCTGAGCGGCAGCACAGGAAAGCCCATGTTGTGAGAGGAATCTGGCCAAGGAATAAATTGACCTTCTGACTCATTTTGAGCTGCTCATAAGGGATTTGAATAATAACGTGCCAGGCATATTAAGCAATTATTACCCTAAAAATGGCTGCATATAACCAAGAAAAGCAAAAGCTGATTTTATAAAAAAATCTGAATCCTGCCATATTTGAATATAGTGAATGATGTCATCTACAAATTAAGTTCTAAAATTCAAAGGACCTGTGCTTCCTGGTGTCTAAAGGAAACACCAGAAAAGGCATTTTACATAAAGATCTTACAAATACTGTTCCTAGTTTTCCCTGAAACCAGCGGGTGGGCTCCTTCACCTGGGTTCTGCCGGGACTCGGCTGGGGTGTGCGGACAGGGGCGTGCCAGCCGAGGAAAGCGGATGGTGGCCAGCAGCACCACTGCATGCCGCCCCCTCTAGAAAATCTGTGGACTACACCACTCCTAAGGAGAGGTTACTGTCTCTGGGAAAAAAAGGGAGTATTTTGTTTTGCAGCTTGGATCTCCTTTGGGGTAAGTGGGGGAGGTTAGGTTTTGGACAGAGGACTAAGGGGTCAGCTGTTTTTTATGAGGAGTTGAGGGGAGAGGGAAGTGGAATAGGTAATGAGAAAGCAAATTTGGAGGCTGAAGGCATGCTGGACAGCCACCCTTTCTGTCCAGTGCCAGGTGCTGCCGTGCAGCTTGGCTGTCTGTCGTAGCTGCCCTGCAGATCCTGCTGTCTTTTCCTGCCCCTGTTTTAGCCATCCCTTAATCCCACCCCTCGGCCATCCCTGCACAGGAGTGCGAAACTGGTATAGAGAGGAGCATGGTGTGTGGAGTTGGTGCTTCTGCCTCTACCCTCAATTGCATGGTCTCAATTAGCCTTGGCAGCCTCTAGGGGTGGTAACTCCAGATATCTCATTAACCCACAGAGAAACAGGTCTGACCCCTCCAGCTATGAGAATTCCCTGCGGGACCCTCCACGAGCAGAAAAGCCAAAGAGCAGGATCACAACTGACAGCAGAGGCAGTTCAACAGCAAGAGATAAATCTCCGGGCTCAATTGTTTAAGATCTGAAGTATTTCCCAAGCAGCTAAGGAGCAATGATGGTCACAGATACTCCTCAGGGCCTTGGAAGTTTCTCGTTAAGGACCAAGGACTTGAAGATAATGATACTATCCTCTGCCAAATCCTGTAGCCACATCACTGGTGCTTTATTGTCAACTAGATCAGAAGATTTTGGCAGATCTAATAAAGTCAGCCTGGACATCTGACCTCTGTTTATTCCCAGAAAGTCATCAACTTGAAGCAGCGATGTAGTCCTAGTGCCAAACCCCAGCTTAAAGCTTGACTGATTATGATCCAAGAAACTAGAGAAATCTCAGTTGTTATGTTTGGCTGCCTTCCATCTTCTCAGATAATTTTACCCAAACAGTGGTGTGAGGGAGACACAGGCTCCCATACCAGGAAAAAAACAAGGAAAAAAGGGATCGGGCAGGATCTCCTAGAGGCAAGTTTGCTGTCCTTTCCTGAGGCCACTGAGTCCGAGTCAGGACCTGCAAGCTGCATGTTACCCCCGATCCACCTGATCCACCCCCATCTTGCCACGTAGCAGATGCCTGTTTCTGAGATCAGCTCTGAGGGTCCTATGCAGCAGGCAGTTAATGGGGTGGCAGGAGCAGAAAGGGACTCTCCGGTGGGTACACCTGCTTCCCAGGCTGGACTGCAGGAAGCTGGTGTCACTCGTCAAGGTTCACCTCTGACCCCTGGCCTCCAGTATGCCCAGCCTGAACCTCCATTCCATATCAACTTATGTGTGGCCAGGAATGAGCAACTTGCACATCTCAGGAGTTGTGCAGCCAAGGAGCTGCTCCAAGAACCTAAGTGGCATCCACAGGAGGTACCCCGTGGAACTTAGGGGATGGGAAACTGTCTTATGGGGAGGGGAACACAGGGCCACACAGAATACAAGAAGCAGATGGGAGAGAGATCTGTTTATAAAATGTTGACCCCTCAAATCTGGGGAATTGGAAGGGAGTGAGTCAGACCTCCTGGTTTGGGAACTTGCTAAGATCTGGCCTGCTGCCCATGCCTTGTTTGACTCAGGATACCCCTCAGTTCTGTGGTGGTCCTCCTGTACTGTGGGTCTAGTGCAGCCACTCCCAGGCCACGACCAGATGCGGGCCTGTTTCATGGAGTAGGTGTGTGGAATTGCTGTTCCCTATACAGACCTGCTTGTTTTAGAGTTCTCTCCTGTCCTGTCCTGTCCACTCCAGCACCATGGCAGCCAGGCCATGCTGAACTCATATGGTGGCTCAGCCCCAGGCTGAATCCACCTGGCTACTGCTGACCTCTCCTGTGAGAGGCGCACATGTATGCCTAGGTGGGCTTTCTCAATCCCTTCTGCAGTGGCTCTGCTGCTTCTCACACTCCTCTGGCAGCCCTCCTGGCCTCCAGCAGCCACTCTAGAGGCTGGGGCTCTTGAATGCCTGGTACCAGTGGTCGGCCCACATCTCGATTTTGCTGGGAGCTAGCACTGGTCACCCTGTTTTCTGAACTGTTACCTCCACATCGCAGGTCACTCTTGGCTGCTTGAGCTGCACGATGAGCAGGTTGCTTTGCTTGCTGTCCTGTGCGCAGTCGATCTCTGTGACGGGGAAGGCCTGCTGCTGTGTGTCCTCGCTGACACTCACCACGAAGAGCACTTCTGAGGTCAGCAGCAAGCATCCTTCGTGCTCCTGGCCTGAGCCCCTCACCAGAACCACGTCCAAGGCCATGTGCACTTCTGGTCTGCCCAGAGACTGAAGCATTTTCCTGTTTCAAAGGAGAAAAGTAAGGCCAGGAGCCAGTTTTCAAAAATGGTCCATATCCACACTCACTATTTGTACCGGGGTTGGGGCAATACCACGCGATGCTCCTCAAGGGATTATTTGATCTTGAAATGTCATTGTCACTTTAATTCTCAAACGGAGTCTGGTCAACAGAGCCCAGCTCCCTGTGGGGACAAGGATTTCCCTCAGCTCTAATTACTTCCTTTTCTTCCCCTGAGTGATGTCCCCCCTAATCAGAAGATTGTTCCACAGAAAATCTCAGGCCTCCTCACAAGCCCTGGTTTCCCTGCCAGTGTGCATCCTCCTGAAGGGTATACCCAGATCTGGGGACAGCACTGTATCTGGCTCTAGGATGCCCTTGATTTGCCTGAGATGCTAAAATGACGGCTCCTATTGGGTCCCCTAGCAGCAGGGCCTGTTAACACAGTGCGCATGTTCAGTTGAGGAAGCATCTAGATTATTTTACCAGATGTATTTGACGTGGCTATTTGGAGCCTGGGCAGCATGCAGATCACTTGGCTGGTAGCGCTGTTTGGGAAGCTGAGAAAGTCCAGCTCCATGTAAAATACCTGTGGTAAGAGAAGTAAGGTTTTACTAGTTGTTTTCTGGAAAACAGTTCCATGCTACAGTGATGTCATCTGCTTACAGCCATCCATACAATGCTACAGATCCAAAATGATGTCACATCTTTGGAAGCAAGCGTATAGATAATCATTAAACACTGCAGTGCTCTTCACCCTGGTGATCTTACATTAGCTCCAGACTGAAATCAGAGTGAACTATAGTCTGAATGTCAACAGCAACTAGAGGAAGCCTAATGCTCCTGGGAGGGGAGGGATCGGGCCTTGGCAACGGCTCACACATCATTTACAATTTACGTGGTGAAAAGTCAAGATTGTCAGCTAACTTTCTTGCTTAATACTGCAATTCTTCTATGTCAGTGCTGTGACTAGTTAAGTAACAAAAACAACACAACAGGAGATGCACATACAGGCACATGGCTTGCTTACTTCACATACAGTACTTAGGTGACTTAATCCAGCTGTCAACATGAATCCATATACATTTATGAGCGCTCTGGGGACCTCCGGTTTATTGCACACTCCCCCTGGTGCCAGCACCAAACGAGGGTACCCAGGAGCAGCCACGCAGGCTTCCAAAGAGACTCTGCAGAACCAAGGATGGTACAGCATGTGTGCTTTCTGAGGGCTTGTAAATGTTTACAAATGAGGCACAGTCATTAGGCTAAGAGTTAGTGGTTTGTAAAACCTTCAGTGCGGTAATAAAAGTTTTACAAGAATGATGGAAACCGACAAGGCCATGGGAGGCTCTGTTCTGAGATGCTCTTACACCAGGGAGCGCCTCGGCCCTGGGAAGTGCACAGCGAGGGGCAACAGCATTTTCTAAACCAAAGGAATTTACGAAGTCCACGCTGACTGTCCCTCACTGAGGACTGCAGCAACAGGACGCTGCTTTGATTCTGGGTAAGCCCTGGATGAGGGAGCGTGCGCCCACCTGGGGCGGCAGCAGACCTTTCTGTCAGTTTCCCTGTGAGTGAGAACAGAGGGCGGGGAGGCAGGGGACAGCGAAGAGGAACACATGTTTGCATCTGTGTGGTCCCTTAAAGGAGCCTCTCTGGAGGGCTGCCTGAGTGTGGGCATTTGTCCGCCACCCTCACCCTCTTTACGCTCTGGTCTGGCTGCTCTGGCCAGATCTGAGGCGCAGGATGTCTGCAGTGAAAAGTCCCCCTCGGACTTCGTGGCAGATGTAGAGTGCAGAGTGCTCGTGTGCCTGACAAAGGAGAGAGCCCTCCTGCTGTGTGTGATACTGGCCAGACAGCCTCCTTCACCACCAAAATGATGACACTGATTATGGGTGAAAAGGTGGCAATTCCAGTCACTCGTTTATTGAAACTCACTTGCGTGTGCTCTGTCAAGAATACAGGAAATAAGCAGGGGATGATGTGCTTACTTCCCACCACCCGTTGCTCCTCTGTGCACACACGTGCACGGGAAGAGGCCAAGTGCAAGTGGTGCCACGAGCCCAAGTTCTTCACCACTGTCTGCTTGGGGCGAGGGTGTTCACCTGCAGGCCACACACCGTTGCTGCCAGTGCTAGGAGACTCGACCTGGCTGCAGGAGCAGCATGGCGTCTGCAGGTGAGAAAGCCACTCCAAGCTCCAAGCACGTGCACGTGTGTGTACACACCCACATGCATGCACACGCATGCTCCTCTTTCTTTCATTCTCCAAATATGCATTGTAATTTAAAGATAGTTTTCTTCCTGCTAATCTAGTTTCCCTTTCAAACTGCTCGCCTGGAAAGTAGTAATTCCATTCTCTGCTTCAATATATTCTACATACTACCCTCAACCGCTAACCAGTTACTTTTACTAAAGTTTATTTCATTAAATAGACTGTTAAAAGATTCTTTGACATATAAACATATACTGAAATTACTGGTTTCCTGGTTCTGTAATTTTGTAATTTATTATCAATTCTATACTTCATGTAAATAAGCAAAAGGAGGTGAGAAAGAGAGCTATTTACTACTAGACTTATCCCTTTTATTTTTCACTGCTCTGCCATGGGCGGGGGGGGGGGGGGGCTAGGTCATCTCAGGAGCCCTTGGTGCAATCACATGAACCAACCGGTGGCGTCTGAGTTGGCCTGACAGCCGTCCCCTGACTCACCGTAACCAGTCTGTGACACGAGCTCAGCAGCTCCTCCGATGGGTTTTGTGAACACCCCCATGATTCCTTTGCCCACGCCGGAGATAACACCCTTGGCCTTGTGTCCTGCTGAAGCGTGAGCATCGGACGTTTTCTGGAAGTTTTGCATTGGCTGGTCGACTATGCCAGCAATTGCACCTGAAAAACAACGAAAGTCCCCAGTAAAGGGCCGAGGCTTCAAGTCCCGAGGAGGGGAAAACCCTCCACCTGGACCATAGTTTCATTTGGATTGAAAATGAAAGCCCACATTCATAAAAGCTCTTTACATTTATTTACCAGTTACCTACGTACATTGAGGGCAGTTTAAGTTAAGCATTTATTGTCTCATCCACACACAATGTTCAGACTGGGTCTGGTCCACTCAGGACCTGGGAAGTTCGGTTCAGGACTTATTAAACGTCAAACTATTCCACACAACACTCCCCATGCCCTTCCGCAGAAACCAGGCTGTGCAGTTTGGAGGAGACGGTTCACAGTCCCTTAGAAAGAGAGAGCCTGCGCAACCTGGGACACCGTCAGTGGATCAGGAGGATGAAAAAAGGTGGACAGGCCAGCCCCTTTCTGCGTTGTCCCTTTTAATTAGAGCAATTATTCATCAGTAAGTTAATAATAATTATTTAATAAGTATTGATATAGTAATTTCTTTTTTAATACTTTATTTATTTTTAAGTCTCTTTATTTATTCTTAGGGGAAAGAAGGGACAAAGAGAGGGACAGAAACATCAATGTGAGAGGGAAACACGGCCTGACTAGGGACCGAACTCACAACCCAGGCATGTGTCCTGACTGGGATCCAACCAGCCAACTCGCTTTGTGGGACAAGGCCAAAACCAACTGAGCACACTGGTCAGGGCTTCATTTATTTTTAGAGAGAAGAGAGGGAGGGAGAAAGAGAGGGAGAGAAACATCAACGTGTGAGAGCTACATCAATTGGTTGCCTCTCGCACACCCCCAACTGGGGACCTGACCCGCAACCCAGGCATGTGCCCTGACTGGGAATCAAACCAGTGACCCTTCAGTTCCCATGCTGGCACTGAATCCACTGAGCCACACCAGTTAGGGCAGAAATAATTTCTATTACATAGTGCTGCACAGTGACATTTTAGTCAACGACAGAATTCATATGTAATAGTAGTCCCGTAAGATTATAATTCCACTATAAAAATTCTATCGTCTAGTAACATCACAGCCGTTGTAGTGTAGTAGAATGCACTCCTCATGTGTTCATGGTGATACTGGTGTAAACGAACCTCCTGCCTGCCAGTTGTATAAAAGCACAGCACATCGAATTATGAACACTACATAACATTTGGTGATAGTCAATGACTATGTAACTGGTCTCTGTTACATAAGGTCCTCACTTAAGGTCAAAGTGGGATCACCAGGTTCTGCAAATTTTATCACAGGCTAAGTGATATAAACAAGAGTTAAGTTCCCATGGCATCTCATCAACATTAGAATGAGATGACTATTTGAGGACCTGCTGTATTACACCTTTTATCATTATTTTAGAATGCACTCTCTATTTAGATAAAAAAAAAAAAAAGTCTGCTGTACAACGACGTCCCACAGTACGCCAGCAGCAGCCTCATCCATCTCAGGAGCCCACTTCTCCTGACTGCATCATTTCTCCTTGTGACCGACTTCATCTTGGGTTTTGTACAGTAACGTGCTGCACCGCAGGCTTGGAGCCTAGGAGCAACAGGTGATTCCATGCAGCCGAAGTGTGTAACAGGTGGCACCGCCTAGCGCCTAGGTGTGTCTAAGTGCAGGCTACGATGTTTGCACGACGATGAAATCGCCTGGTGACACATCTCTCAGAACACACCCCATCGCTAAGCTGTGTAGGACTGCTGGCTAATCTCATCTGAGTGCTCACCCCGTGCTGGGGACTGTGCTAAGAGTTGTGCTTGTATGAGATCATTCATCCAAATAATCCCAGGAGGCAGGCACGATTCTTTATCCGCACTCCCTAGATGAGGCCACTGGGGCACTGAGAGGCAGAGGAGCTTTTCCCGAGGTCACACAGCTGTCCCATGCTTGAGGCAGGATTTGGGTCTTGAGTCAGATTCACAGCCTCACTCTTACCCACCAACCTGTTCCCTGATGCTGTTTATGAAACGGGCTGTTCCCTTTGCCAGTGTTGGAAAAACTTCCTTCTCTCTCACGTTACCCGAGGTTTGGCCACTTACTCTAAACTTCAGAATGGCTGCGAAGTCCTGCTCTCACTGCTCTCTGCCCTGCCGGCTCTCCCCTGGTGGGATGGTCCGTCCCCTGCTCTCACTTCCAGGGGCCGATGATGGGACCTAGTGAAGGCCTCACCGGTCTGGATTTTTTTCCATGATGGAGTGGAGGGTCCCCTAACTCATAAGAGGTAAACATTTCACTTCAATTCCCGACAGAATTCTGTTTTCAACTCGGGCCTGCTAGGACTAATGAAAATGCACAGTTCCCTGGTAGAAATTTTAGTGTATGTCAAATCCCATTATTTCAATTGCCACTAATCCAAAATCTCTTGGGTAAATGGAGGTTTCCAGGTCGCAGTTAGTGCCCTGCTGATTTTAAGCAATATTCCATTGAACAAAATTCAGTAAAACCAAAGGCCAGTTCCTTCAGGTCAATTGTGGAGGGAACATTCTTCAAGAATTCCAGTCCTCTCAATTTTGACAGAGCCATTTAAATTTATGCAGGAGCAGATTAAGAATGACCTGAGGCGACAGGTCCGTTTCCCAGCCTGACCACCCCACCCCTGCCGCCCTGGCGAGGGAGGGTGGAGGGGTCACTGTTTCTGTGCCCCCAGGCCACCCAGCCCTGGCCCTGGAGCTGGAAGCCCGCCTCCCGTTTTCTCTCTCTGAGGAATCTGATGCTCTGCTCTCCTTCTACAGGTCAGGAGTCAGCGGCTGGGAGGCGTTAATGGAACCGGCCACAGTGGAGGCGCCACCAGTGCCTGGGAGAGCCGGAGCCCTGGCAAGACTGGTCTTCAAATCCTTTCAAAGCAGACGGTTCAGAGTGATCAGCATGAAATCGATGACCGCAGCTTTCCGTGATTTCATTATCTGACTTCTCTGACAGGTCTCTATGCTTAAGAGTAGGAAAACTGGGGTAAATAATTACAAACTCATCAATAAATTAATTTACTGCCTGCATTTCTGGTGGAAATGTCTTTTTTCAAGTGCAGATTTCCGGTAAGGCTATTTACACTGAGCCGGGGGGCAGGTGGTTCCTGCGACGACTCTCCCATTTCCCTTCAGCGTGCCAGACCTCACCTGTCCTCAGGCCCTGATGCCTGTGGCCGTCCGTCCACACAGGGCGCTAACTTCCACCAGCGCGAGTGCAGACACGTGGCCCAGCGAAACTCCCCTTTGATCTTCCACTTTGTCCAGCCACTGGCCAAAGCAAAGGCTCAGTTACTGTGGCTTTGATAGATAAACTATTTGGGAAGCCCCCGCAAGTGGAAGGCCTGAACCCCATGACAAGGTGTTAGATTCTCCGAGGCAGAGGAGAAGCCGCCAGATCACGTGCCGTGGCCCAGCACCCGACCCTGGGGGCGGGAAAGCTGGCCCGTCACTCACGCCGACACCTCCCTGGTCGCCAGGTGCGAGCTGGAGAACAGAGAGGCTGCTGCTCCGAGGGCTTCGGAAAGCTCTCTGACTAGTATAATCCAGCTAAATCCCACAGCCGGTAAGTTATTTACTGTCATATACTGAAACCTGCTCGAAGGCTTTAGGCGGTGGAAACTGATCCCCAAACCTGTCTGTTGGCATCGGGCCCGCGGGGTGGGCGGCCACGTGGAGGCGGCTGTGAGGTGATGAGGTGAGGCAGGGAAGGCAGCGTGCACCCCGGAGGGGCGGCCCCACGGCTCCACGTGTGCTGCCAAGGCAGAGGCCGGGAGGTGTTTCCTTGTCGGACCTCCATTTAGAAAAGGGCTTTCTTTGAAGCCGGGGGACTACAAAGGCCCTCCCTCACCTCTTCTGGGACTCGCTCCTCGTCTCCGGCAAACACACGGTGTGTCCCCGGGCTATGAAAGTCCTGCCTGCGTGGCTATTTGGCTGCTGCCCTGACCACACACTGTAATTATATTTTGGGCACTTTAAAAAATAAATCACAGTAGCAGAGGCATAGGCGTCCCCTGAGCCCCCACTGCACAGCCCCTCACTCCAGAGACAAACGAGACCTGTGGAGTGCACCGGGTGTGCCGGCTTGAGGTCAGCTTTTTTGGGCCAGCACAGTCTGGCCAGTTGGGAAGGAAGGAGCAGTCTTCCTGAATTCCCTGCTGACTGCAGACCAGCCTGCCAGGGGATGGCAGCGGCACCAGAGGGACTGCCCAGGAGGTCCTCTCCTGGGTGCGCAGCTCTTTGCTCGCTCCCTTGAGGGAGAGCATCCTAATTCATCTGGTGGAGGCCTCTGTTGCTGGGATCCCACATGGCATCCCCGAGCGGCCGTGAGGATGGAGGGTGCGGCTGCTGGGAAATCTGTCGATACTTCAGAAGTCGGGCAGCAGCCCAAGAAGCGTGGGTCAAGCAAGCAAGTTCTGATGTCCTGCCAGTGGTATTAACGAGCGAGCAGGCACGTCTGGGAGGGGACGCAGAGTGGAGCTGTGACACAGGGCTCACATCCTCTCTCGGCGAGGACTCCAGGGAGCAGTAGAAAGCAGGGTGGATGGGCACAGATCTGGTGCATGTGGGCAGACCTGGTGCCAATTCTGCAGGCGAAGCAGAGCGGTTCCAAAGCCTCTGCTGTTCACAAACTGGTGGAGCTCCTCCAAGAGCCTCGGCGGCATCTTTCAGCGGCATCTCTCTGCCAGCTGACACTTCCGTGCTGACCTGGGGCGATGTGTCTGGGCACGGCAGCCAAAGGCTCCCTTTGATTTTTCAAGTGTCTCATAACACTCCCCAGCGTCTCCATGGGGGTGAGGCAGCGTTAGGAAGGCCCACCACCCCATCGACATTTGGGGGAAATGTGTTTTCCCCACCCTGGAACTTTCAATTGTTCAGTCTCCCCACATCCTGATTGCTTCCAGGCTTGGAGCCCGCATGGTGGGTGACATGTGGAAAGGCCAGGCTCTCGTCCTGCCGGGAGCTGGACCCAGACAAGTCTGCGAGCCTCGTCCCTGCCGGGGGCCGGAGGGCCCAGTAAGACGGGAAAGCGCTCCGTCAGCCCTGAAGCGCTCTGTGAGCCCATTCCTGCTGACGGGGTCGCTGATGCCTGTGTCTTGTAAAGGAAGGCGCTGAGGAACTAGGACTTTGATTTCACTGAGCAAAGGCTGCAAACTATTATATCGTGACAGCTCTAGCTTCAGGTAGACACTAAATTGCATTTCTGGGTGTGGATTAAATGGTGACAAGCCTATACTTTCCCAGGTGAGAGGACTTGGTCTTCCTCTCCGTCTCTCCTTGCCTCGAGTTAGGGAGTTCTAGGACCGGATGTTCTGAGATAACACTGTGATACATGGCACACGGAGAGCTCTTACATTTCTAGAGGAAAGGAAGCCGGTGTGGACAGAGATGTCCACTGTGAACTCCAATGTCTGAGAGCTCCCGCATGGGCATGGAACTCAGGGCCTGCTGCTGGGGGCGGAGGTCCTGGGAGCCCAAGGCCAGGCCAGCATCCATCTGTGGGTGCCATCAACACACGCTGGGGGGGATTTACATGACCCCCAGAAGCCCTAGGCTTTTGCAAATGGCCAGGCATGCAGAAAATCTCTGTGAGCCCACCACAGTTTCCACAGACTACGTGATTCCCTTGCATAGGTGAGAGTGTACAGGACCCAATAACTATGGCAAAGACCAAAGCTTCCCGTTCACAACAGGAGCCACTCCCCAAAGGGTGACATCGCAAAGGCGGAACCATGGTTCCCTCCATAAGTGAGTCCTACCCTCAGGCACAACTTTATACAGTGGCAACTGCATAGTGGAGACCGGCTTCTCTGGGTGGGAGGAGAACAGATTAGTCGGGATGGAAAGAGCCATGTGCCAACCAGTTCAGGTCCCCTCTGTGAGCACCTGGAGCTCCTAGGAGGGCTTGAATGGAGGGAAGGAAGCTCTCCTGCCTGGAACAGAGGGCACAGAGCCCAGAATTCTGAGCATAAAGAGGTCCCATGGACTCCAAACAATGACCTGAGGCACCCAAGGTTGTCACTTTTTGTGGTTATAGAGACTGAACCCATTGGACTAAAATAAAGCAAAAAGGCTCCTGCTGTGGTTCACATGACCCTCTTTGACATCAAGCAACTCTTACAGTCCCTTTGCTGCCATGATATTATCATGATGGGTTCTGATGACCAAATGCAGGCCCTGTGCCTGGCACACGATTGATGGCGACCTCTAACAGTGGCATTCCCAGCCCCGAGGTTCAGAGAGACCCAGGTTCAGAGAAGAAGTTGTCGGAGGTCAAAAACAAGGGATCTGAACACCCTGGCCAGTGGTCTGTGGCTCCTGAGCACGTGGCCCACCCCCACAGCTTGCCCTTCCCCAGAACGGCCACGCTGCCTTCCGGACTGCCCCTCCACCCAGCAGTGCCTCCCCCAGGCCGTTAGCCTCCTGGCTTCCACGCGTTATTCCATGACAGTGCCGCACATCACTGAATGGTGACTTACACACAGTTTCTAGTAACTTAACCTGCTCTTGTCACATCTTACTGGGTCCTCTCAGAGCCTCAGCTGGCTGCACTGTGAGTGGAGGGGTTGTGTTTGGAACGGCAGACTGGAGAGAGGACAAATCCTTTCAAGCTCCGCTTTGCTGACCCCTGTTCTCTCTGCACTGGGCACTTTGATCTCTGTGAGACGCACACTCCTTCAGATGCCGGGCAGGCATGCTGCCAAGCAATACAGTTTTAAATTCCTTTGCAAACAAATAAACAAAAAATACCCTTGAAAATCCTGCTCTGCAAAAGTTCAGCTCTCAAGCCACCTTTTTATAGATTTTTCCAAAGCAACTTATTTTTCAAACATTTGTAATATTTGGAAATACCCATAGCAATCTTCACCTCTAACTATACCATCTGGCAGCTCAACAAATGATAATTACCCAGAGTCAGGCTGATCTGGCATTCTTAAAAAGGAAAAAGAAAAAAAAAAAGCCAACAGTGTGCTCCTCACTGAGGTTTACTCGACCACTGCAAGGTGATCAAGTGCTACTGGAACCGAAGCAGGCGCCCACAGTACCTGTGGGGTGCGGGAGCCAGGCTCCCGTGTGCTGGGACTCCCTTTAACAGGTGCAGGGCCACGTGCTGCTGCCCTTGTGCTCACACCCCTACATGCAGGGGCCCATCCATGGCGTGATTCTGTTCGGGGAGCAGAGCCCGGAGGAGGCCAGAGAGATGCTTCACACTAGAGGCAAAGGAAGCTGGAGCAGGGCACTTGCACAGGTGACCTTCTCGTCAGACAGGACGGCCCTGTCATGGCCACGTCCTGTTCCTGAGCCTCAGTGACTCACGGCGGGCACCGGGGTGAGTGCCATGTCCTCTCTGGGCCTCAGCTTTGTCTACAGAAAGGATGTGAACTTCCCAGCCACCCATGTCCTGGGAGTCCGTGTCCCTCGCCAGAGCCAGAAGGCACCCTGAGCACACGTCCCAGCAACCTCTTACCGAGCAGGCTGATGCCCAGCCGGGACAGGCCTTGCCGGAGCCCCTCGCCCAGACTCTCCGGGAGCTGCCGCCGCCACTCCTCCTGCCGGTTGTAGTGCTCCTCATCCAGTGACAGCCGGTCCATGTTCCGGGCCAGGCTCGTGGCCAGGTTGGTGATGGAGGTGAGGGTACCTGCGGGAGCAAGAGCACGTGGGTTGGCCTCCTGGTCACACACGTGGAGAACCCCCGGGAGAGTGGTCCCCAGGGCCCGTGGGAGCACGTCTGTGTCACTGGATATGCCCAGATGGTGAGTGATGGTGGCTCTCTCTTGGGCAGCTGGAAGCGTGAGCCTTACGAAAATGAGGTGAAAATTAACACTTGCTTATGCCGGTGGCGGCACTCCTCCAAAGGGGTAGGATGACCTCTGTCACCAGAAAAATGCCTGAGTTTCATATGAAACTGTCACGTGCTACCATTTGATTGTCAAGGCTTGGCTAAAACAGTTAGTTTCAGAGTCCTCACCAGGGGCCAGTTTTGAAGGTTAAAATCTGCCTGCTCTGAGTTGAAGGGTTAAGGTTAGCTGCTGAATTTTTGACGGATGGCAAAAAAAGGTTTCTACTCTAGGACTACAAATTATTCCCTCCTTATTATTTCAGTCATAGTAAAAAAGAGACACTGAAGTTTACCATTTGACATTTTGAGGAAATGATTATTGTGCCACAGAGAGTATGTGCCATTTTCATAGTTAGGATGTTAACTGAAAAATGTGAGGACAATGAAGGGAGCAAATCAGGTGAAAGCCATACTTCTGTCTGTTTTTTTTCTCTAAAAAAAGCGATGTCAGCCTCTTGCTCAAAATATCAGAACTCCCGCCAGCAACTCTGCATAGATTTCAATGAGCAAAACTGAAAATACCAACGGACACCTTTCTGAAACTGCTGAGTTAGCTCCCTTGTTGTGGACACCGTCCTTGCAGCGGCACTTCACCCGTCTTCGGGAAAGGAATCCGTGCGCGCGCACACACACATGGCTCCCGGCAAACCACCGGAGCTTGCTGAGAGAACGAGTGTGAAAGACAAGCAGTGAGTCAGCACGCTGGAATTACTGATGGGTTTCAATTCAGCAGGTGCCGGTTGTCTCATTTTAAAATTAAACCAACAGAACCACCAAGATGTAAGCGTCGAGAGTGAGAAATCCACCAGTGACTCATCTGCGAGCTCCTGCAGCTCAGCTCCTGGGCCCCGGACAACCGACCAGGGCTTGGGGGAGGGGTCCTGCCGTTGTCCGGGGAACATGGTTTATTACTCCTGCTGGTCTCTGGCCAGTCCCCCTCCAGGGACCATGAGTTCTCGTATTTCAAGCCCAAGTTGTCTTTTGAGGCCTTCTAGAGACTTCTATAACCTGCCTGCTCATAAAAGCCCCTGACGGGGGAGAAGCTCTTTGCCCTGTTTTCCCTGCCTCCTGCTGAGAAGAAAAAGGGACTCAGATGGCCCTTGTTAGTTCCCGAGTCATTGCCAACATGACCGAAATACCGTCAAGCAAACACACGGATGAAAAGAAAACAGCCCCCTTCGTGCACAGGGCAGGGGTTGGGCTTCTGTGCCTGCTGGCCGGTCCGGGCCACAAGATGGCGCTGTGTATGTGGCCTGCGGGAGGAAAGCCGGCTGTTCCACCCAGATCGGCCTCCACATCCTCACGAAAGTTATGACAACTGAATCTACATTTTAAAAACATGATGAGGCAACACAGTGTAGGGTTTCTGATGTTTAGCAGAAGTCCTGAACACCTTTAATATTTCTGTATTTATCACATGGAATAACAGTTGAGCCAGTCCGAGTTTTCCCCGTGGGAGGTTTAAAATTCTGAAGTTTCTGAAACATTTTCACACACTACGCAGGCAAGCGCTGATCTGTTTAAAACATAAGACATTATATACGAGCTTTGTTACAACCCTAGCATTTCACTGCAAGCTAACAAGCCAAACAAAGCTAGAGGCAAACCTAATGCATTTAGAACTTAAACACGTTCTTCAAAAATAAAGACTAGGACAGGAAGGAATGAAATAAGGCATCGTTACAAGGAACCAAAGTAGCTACCTTTGGAAATGTGCTTTACAAACGACGTCGTCCCCCTGGAAACTCCGCTCACAAAGGCTCCAGGGCCGCGGGTCAGCCCCTCGTACGGAAGCCTGAAGAAGTCGGCGATGCCGTTGCCGATGCTGCGCACCAGGCTCGCCGGGCTGCCGAGGATTTCCAGGGATCCAACCACCCAGCCTGGAAGGGGCCAAAGGGAAGGGGTTACTGAAACCTTCAATACAGCACTTTCAACATTTGGGGAAAATGACACATTTTCCCTGCAATTCATTTTTCACACTAGAATTGAGAATGTAATAAGCTCCTTTGGAGCAAAATATGGGAAATAACTCATTCACTGTGAATTCAGATGTGGCAAACTTTCATACTTTATAAATCAAAGTGATCCTTCTGGCAGCCTCACAAATGGCTTTAATACGACTTCCCTGCCGGAGTCCTATGTTCCCGCGGAAAGGGACCCATGTGCAGGGGGACCCACGCTCCGACCTGCCCGGGAAAGGCGGTCCCTCCGGCTGCAGGTGTGAGCAGGCTGGAGCGTTATCTGTGGAGCCTCCTTGGGGCAGCAGCAGCACTGGGATGAGAAGATGCCTGGTCGGGAGGGGAGGCCAGATGCTAAATGGGGTGTTACAAGGGGGATGCAAAGTTTTGACAAAGATGGAGGAGTTATTTTTAATCTTTCCCAATCCTACCAAGCTGAGTGCTTCCCTTTAGAGCGGAGCTGGAGCCAGATAAATGTCTCCTGTTCAACCCCAGCTGCAGTTGTGTAAACTTCAGTGACACGGACATACTGATTAGGTTAGCGAGAGGGGAGTGTTCCCTGCGAGAGTCCCAGGAGGCGCGCTTTGGATCTGGTTTCCTATGTGCGCCGGGGCCTGCCAGGAGCTGGCCTGCTCAGTGGCCTGATTGCTGTGTGCACTGCCCCGTGGGAACGTGGCTCTGGTGTGCACTCCGGCAGCGGTTCCCTCCGTCGTCCCCCTGGGCTGGGGCACTGGGGTTCTCACCCAGCAGACTCGAAGTGCAGGCAAGGGTCAAGGGCAAAGGTGAGGGGCATTCCGAACGGGCGACTTCTCTGGTAACCCACTGACCTCCCTAGGCCAGGACTGAACGCTCTAATAGGGAGGCCCTGGGGACAGGACCCAGGTGGGAGCCAGTCCTGCCTCACCAGTGGACTCTTGGAGGGCAGGCCTGTGACAGAGACCCCCAGTCACGTCACCAATCCCAGAGGCCTGGGAAGGTGTGTGTGCAAAGCTCGGCCAGAGCCCTAATGGGACCCAGGCCCAGCTGCTGTAGAGAGGGACACTCCTAAACTTTGAGTCCACCTCTCTTCTCTGGAATAGTAGGAAGATAACATTAGGGTTTATGTTAAAACAGGACATAATTTCTACAAGATGATTATAAATGGGAGGGCATATAGGTGCCAGGCACTCAACATTTTTAGTTCTCAGAGGCAACTGTGCAAGAGAAGTACTGTTACCTCCCTTTACACAAATCCGGACTAGCTAGTGACTGAGCCTCTCCCTGGACTGAGGAGCTGCAGCAGGCCCAGAGGGGAGAGGAGAATCTGACGTGAGTAATACCCAGTCTCCCTGTTTCCCCAGGAAGGCTCCTAGGAGGAGGAGGGGGAAACTAGCTCAGAGACTGAGACCATTGCTCACAGCCTCCCCAGTGGTGAGACTCGTGAGCTGGGTTTCCCACCCCGGTTTGCCAGATTCCAAACAACCCCACACCCCTGCCACGTGGGGGGCCCAGGGTACAAGGAGTGGGCAGGGTCCCGTGGAAGGCCGTGGACTACTCTGCCTTGGCAGGCCCTCTCTGGACACAGAGAAAGAGCAGGTGCCCTTTATCCCAGAATAGTTGTAAGGTTCCACCTGGAGACGGCAGGCTGGCCTAGGAACATTTTAATTCCTCTTCGTTCCAATGACTCCACATAGAAATGAAGAAGAAAGTAGCGACTGGCAAGCAAAGCTCCCAGTGTAAGGGCACTGAGTAGGCAGAAACACAGCCTCTCCCCAGGCGAAGGTGGGGATGGGTCTCCGGGATTAGGCCTATGGCCTTATGGGAGGGCTACTGTGGACCAGAGCGACTTCTCAGGGGCAGCTGGGCTGGCCAGGAAAGGGCAGATGGAATCCCAGGACACTCTCTCTTTTTTTTTTTTTGTTAACTATTTCCCTCCAAAAGCAAATATATCCTTCTCTGACTTGTTTGGGAATTTTGTTGAAAAGGGGTGTCTGTCTGGTGTCCCATCAAATAGAGACTGGTGGGCAGAGAGGGACCCCAGGAAATTATAAGGCCCACGTTCTTTCCTTTAAAGAGGGACAGTAACTCATTTCTAACTGCTTCACTGTTTCTTTACGCAGCTTGTTCCCTCCCAGGCAAGCTCTGACCCTTCCTACAAGGATGGAAGTGCCTTCCCTTCAATGCTGTGAACCTGGGGGCTGGTCCCCTCCTACTTCTTCCCACTTCCAACTCAGTCCATCACCGCCTTCTTCCAGATACTCTTTGGATGGTCTGTAGGTTTTCAGTGACACAATTCCCAACAGGCCCTAAAATCTTGGCCCTTTATGTTAGAATTTCTTGTCTTGGCATATAATGAGGTTGGGACAACAGCTTAGAGGATTTTTAAGTGGATTACAAAAAAATCCAAACAGAATATTCTTGGGAAAGCTCATTAAAAACACAAAACAAAACAAAGCGATCATTTTTAGCACAAGGGGTGCAGGGACACGGCTCCCTAGTGCCACGGCCAGAGTTCCTCCGCCAGGTCACTGCACGGAGGGTGCTCGCCACGCTCCGGCATGCTGTGCTGGCCGGATGGGGGCCCTTCCTTCCCAGGCTCAGACCAGAGCTCAGTAACCTACATGCCCGCTTCTCATGTTAAAAGCAAAAACTGCCTGAAAGGGTAAGTTTCTGGAATTGTTTATAACTATACCCATCTATTAAATTTGAAATCTTAACTGCTTATTTTTAAATGATTTCTTAGCAAGAAGGAAATATTTCTTCATTGTTGTGCAAGCTATCAAAACAACAGTCCGGGCAGAGCCCTCCCCAGATCTTGTCATTTTCACTTAGGAGAGCTGGGCAGCCCTATCAACTCGATGAATTTCATTAGGGAGAGAATGGAATCTTACCAATATGGCAACAACATGGGTCATTTGCTGCGACGATGTTAATCTTCTATGGGAAAACATTCACCAAGTACAATGTTACAAAGGTTCCCTCCTCGGTTACTTTCGGAAAGTGCTCTTTACCAGAAAGGGGCCCCGAGACGACTCTGGCTGGGGCGCGCTGCCTGAGGTCACGGGAACACGAGGAGCCAGACTGTCAAACTGAGACCCCTTTCGGGTGCATTCAGGTCAGGAACGTGCACTCTGACGCTGATTATCATAGAACAGGGATTTTCGACTTGTGCGCCACAAGAATTTTTTAAACATTCAATACCTGATTGTGTAGTCAGGGGCGCTGACCTCCTTTCCCTTAAATTGTCAAATAAAAAAATGACAACAGTCAACACAATAGCCATCTGGTTAAATGAATCTAAATTATACCTTTTTTTGTGTGTGAGACTTGGCAAAAAATATAATCTACATTTTGGCGTGCCACAGAATTTTAGTAATTAGCTTATGTGTGTCATCAGAGGAAAAAGGTTGAAAACTGCTGCCATAGGGTATTCTGAGACAGCCTGGTCCCTAACACTCAGCTTGTAGCACCCCCCCCACCCCGCCCCCACCAGACAACATCTGCATGCACGTTCAAACCAGCCCTGCAGACTCCTGCAGCTCAGGTCTGTGGAGAGGGGGCGAGGCACCGGCAGCAGCCTTCTCCTCTGTCTGTCTAGACAGGCAGGGCCACACTGGGAGGTTGAAGGCTCTCTGTGCATCTTGTGAGCAAACAAACCCTTTGAATTTCTCTCCTTGCAGCTATTCCTGAAGGACCGTCATGAAGAAAGCTAACAACCTAGAACTGCATTTCGTTTCTGCCCGGGCTGGAGGGCCTGGGCCACTTTCCCCGGCTGCACTACGGTGCAGATGTAGAGCTTTTTGTACCTGCAAGGAGCCAGAAGACTGCTTGCCAAATGGGATTGTAACTCTAAGTCATGTAACGGCAAATAAACAGCTACTGCTGCTTCAGTGTTTATTAAGTGCCAAGCAAAATTCAGGGCACTCTGTATACTTTCCTTGTATTCTCTCAAAACACGTAACCACCCATCTCATGGCTGAGGAAACTGAGACTTGGGGAGGTTTGATAATGTGACCGAGGCCTCACAGAGTGCAGAGAGAAACCCACTGCCGTCCCACTGCACAGCCCACATGCTTCAGCCCTCACCGTACTGCCTGCCCACGTCTGGATGTCCACAGGGTGCCACCCCGAAGCATCTCCTTTTTGCCCAGGCCCTAGCTCCCCAGACCCTCAGCCGCGCCCTCACCTGCTCGGAAAAGAGCCCCCGCGGCGTAGTGCATCGCCAGTGCGTGCACGAGCTGCCTGGCCGTGGTGAAGATGGGGCCCCTTTCGAACACTGAGAAGGACAGCGGAGTGTGGTCAGAGGCTATGTACAGCTTCAGGGACGCGTGGATGCTGACGAGGAGATTCACCGGCTGTATCACCAGTTTCCGCAACTTCACCGGGTTCACCAAGGCCCTGGCGTGCTGTCTGACCTGCACGGGCAGTGCCCGCTCGCCACCAGAGAGCGCTGGGGGCTGCCCGTCCAGGCTGCTGCCAGGAAGGTAGGTCTCAAACAAAGTTTTGATGTAGTGTACAAATGTGTCTTCCACATACAGTCGGGCAGGTTTCAATTCAAAACTGAACTCATTAATGTCACACAGGAAGCTCTCGCCCTCCGTTAAGGTGAGGCAAAGTTTGATGAAACACTTTTTCTTGTATTCTTCCAAATCTCTGCCGGATGCAAGGAGACCCTGCATTTTGGCAGACTGGGTGGGGTCTGGCTTGTCCTCCTGGCAGACGAGGACGGCAAAGTGGAAGCTGGACTGACTGTGCAGCTGGTTGTCCAGCTGCAGGTCCCCGCAGCACAGCTCCACGCGGTGGAGCCGGAAGAGTGCCGCGCCGGGCTCCTCCCCCGGGAGGTGAGAGGCCGCTGGGGCCACGTGCAGAAAAACAGTGTCCAGCGTGAGTCTCAGAAGTTCGGACGATGCTTTGTGGTGGGTGAGGTCATCAAACACCGCCAGGCTCAACTGAGTGATGAACATTTTAAATGTCACCATCTTCTCCAGAGTTCTAGAGGAGAAAAGGAAAAGAACATTAGTTTCCCCCTTTCTTTTTTTGAAACTGATAGTGCCTTATTAAACACCTCCTGATGTCCCATCAGCTTCTCCCAAGGGACATGTAAGAACTCAGCTTTCAGTACATCGCATCTGGACGGAGCCAGTCACACTCTAGCAATACTGGGAAGTGTTCCCGGGGGGACTACTGCAAGTTCTTGTCACGTTCCTCTGTGTTTCCCTTATCAACACCAGATTTCTACTCCAAATCCCTCTAGTCTCCGTGCACTAGTCCTCTGTCACAGTCATCACGAGGCAGAAGGACATAATAAAACAGCCAGGACTCCTTAAATTGGAGGAGTGAGGCACGCGGAAGGGAATTTCGTACAGGCTCCTGCCACAGCAGCCCAGCTGCCAGCGTCTCGGCCTGCGGGCCGCCGCCCCGCCATCTCCAGAGCCCCGTCTCCAAGGGCCCAGGTCTCCCTCTGCTCACCTCCTCTAGGCCATCGCTCGTTTCATCCTTACTAGCAGCTTGTGAGCATGCTGCTATCTCTCCTATCTTAAAGACCCCTCCTGTCACTCCTCCAGCTACCACTCATCTTCCAGATCCTTCTTACAAAAAAACTTCAAAGAATTTTCTATACACATTGTCTTCTATTTCTCTCCTTCCATTTTCTCTTAACCCTTCCCTTTACTCCACACAGACTCCTGACCCTGCCAGTCCACCCAGGCAACTCTCCCCAAGGTCGCCAGCAACTCCCGCGTGGCCACACCACATGGTGGACTTTCAGTCTGTGGCTCCCTCAGCTCACAGTGGCGTCTGATGCCGCCGACGCCCTCCTGCCGGAAATAGTACCTTCGCGTGTCTTCTCTCGTACCTTCCACCTCTGGTCATCCATTCCCAGTCACCTATGCGGCCCCCTCCTTTTCACCCAGATCTCTTCAAGTCGAGGTGCCCAAAGCTCAGCCCTCGGTCCTCTTCTCCATCCCCACTCCCTCCCGCCCTGGAAATCCTGTCCAGGCTCAGGGCGTGACAACTCGTCTGCATGCTGACGACTTCTAAAGCCCACAGTTGGCCCAGATCCACTCCCCTGCACTTCAGCCTCATGCGTGCAACTGCCTATGCACAGAGTCCTCGCATGTCTAAACAAAGGTCCATCTGTCAGGCCTGTCACCAGACTGTGCCCCCAAATCTACACAGAGTCTTCCCATCTCAGGTACTGGCAGCCACAGCTGACCCCTTGTTACACCAACAATTCTGGACTCCCCCTTGATGCCTTTCTTTTCAATCCTTATCCAGCGCACCAGGGAAATCCCATTGCTTGTCCTTAAAAGGATATCCAGAAACTGACCATTTCTTATCTCTCCCCAGTGTGAATAGCTGTAATAGTCAATCTCCTAACTAGTCTCCCCACTTCCACCCTTACTTCTGTAATGTAGTTCAACAAAGCAGCCAACAATTTTTCCAAAATTTAGATCCAATCATGAAACTTCTCTACTCAAAAAGTTCCAAGGACTTCCCATTTCACTTGGAATTAAGACTCAGTCCTACATGATGTGACCCCTCCTTCCAGCCCTCCCCTCAGCCCTCTGACCTCGGGTACCGCACTCTCACTGTGCTCCATTCCATCTGGCCCACACCGGCCCCTCCCCTGCTTCTCCAATACCTGGGTTGGCTGGTTTGGACCTTTGACCTGCCTGTGCCCGCTCACTGGAAAGCTCCTGCCCTAGACAAGCACATTGCCACCCTCCTGCTGCTTTCAGGTCTTCGCTCAAACGCCAGCTCCTTGGTGAGACTTGCACCAGTTTTTAAAAACTATGCTCTTTCTGTCCTTCTTACTTGGCTCTGTTTTTATAGCTGCAGAATGCCAACTATTCTTACGTTTGAGTATAATGAAATAAATTTAGATGTATGACTGCTATAAAATTTCCTTTATTATGTTTATTCTTTGTCTTCCCATTCTGTGCCTATGAGAATATAATTTCCTCAAGAGCAGAGATTTTGGTCTCTTTATTTACCGATGTATCACTGCCCTTAGAACAGCGACTGGCACCCACTAAACACTTGAAAACATGTGTTGCGTGAATTGAGGAAGTGCAAGGAAACAGTTGTGCCTTGCCTGTTCCCACCCCCGAATGTATGGATTGCCGCCGTTGCCATCGGTAATGCCCTGCTAATGCCCTAGAAATGTTTCTGAAAGTCTTGGGCAGATGTGAAATTTTGTACCATGCAATTTAAAATTTAGTCTCTAATTCTGTTATGTAGCTGATATTTTACAAACACTGCCAAGCAAAGAAAACATTCTACCCAACCTTGTTTGAAATATTATAAAATCAAATTAATAATAATTTGGCAGGGTCCAAATTAATGAGCTCCTAACCATATGTGAAAAGCTAGAAACTTTTTTTAAAAAGGGCCTAAACAAATACATCAAAGTTGGTATCATTTTATATTGTTAGAGGTAATAATAAATTATTTTTTCTGATTAGAAAATAAAGTTTTACTGTAGAAAATGGAAAATATAAAAATTATTAAGCAATAATCACTTATAACCCCATATCTTCTAACAATTTTGATTCTTTTCAGGCTTCTTTTTAGGAATGTTTTCTGTGCATGTGTGTGTGTGTGAGAGAGAGAGAGAGAAGAGGGGGAGGGGGGAAGAGGGAAAGAGAGAGAGAAAGACAGAGACAGAGAGAAGGCATGTATGTGCATGCATATTTAGCATGTATACATATAGGTACATATGACACATAATGAGGGTCATTTTTGTATACTCAACTTTATGTTGTTTTCTCTATTTTAGGTTTATCACATGCATCCTTCTAGTCCACTGAAATCCTCCAAGTCTATTTTCTGTGGATATACCCCTTATGGGATATTTATGTATTATCCATTCCCCTGCTGACGGGCATTTCTACTCTGGGTATTTTGGCCATTATATTTGGCAGTGTAATATCCTTGTATATCTCTCTGCACATATCTTTGCCTACTTCTCTAATGATTGCTTTATCTCTTAAACTCTTAAAATTGGAATTTCTAAGCCAAATGGATTTTAAAGCTTTTCATATATATTATTTTTAAAGTGCTTTCCAGAAAATGGTAATAATTTTTGTTAATATGACAGGTAATATCTTATTTAAATATGCCTTTGTTTGATTGCTTGTATTTACTCTTTCTAGAATTTTCTGCTCATGTGTTTTGTCCTTTTTTTGGAAGAAGAGGCTACCTCCCTATTATTCCTGCTGAATGACATGAGTTCTTTTAAAGTAAGGATACTAACTCTTTGATGCATGTTTGTGAAACCTGATGGCAACATTCAGGCTAAAGGGGAAAACGAGGCTCTGAGGGGTGAGCTGATTTTTCATGCAGCTCTGATGGCTAAGTCCAGTTACTAACTACTAGGATGCCGTGTGGATACAGAAGTATTAATTTGCATTTCATGCTAATGATGATGTTTAATTTTAAGATGTATGCTTGTAATTTTAAGATAAAAACCAGTTTGGAAAAATTGGAAGGGGTACCCAAATAAGACTATAGATGCTATTACAGATAGGATTTAATGCTGATGACCACATCCTGATGGACTGCACAATAACAACCAAAAGCTTTAACGTATAAATAGATGTGACAAAAAATGGTACATAATAGGTTTATGATTTCATAATGGGAAAGCTTATATACACTGCTACTGGGATAAAAATTAAACCTACCTATTGGTCAAAATAGGTCCTGCTTTTCCTTCTGGGGCCACAGTGATGAAGATGGTGCCGCACTGATGGACAATGTCCACATACACATAACCAAAGCCGGTCAGGAACACAATCTGCAAAAAAGCATATTCAATCTCTGATTAAAAAGAAATAAGAAATGCCACTGAAATGACCAACTCTAAATGCCTCAAGTTCTGATTCAATACCATAAACACTTCCTGGTTCTATTTCTTTATATCCGTGTATACGGGCTATTTGGCTGACTTGAAATGAAAAAGAGAAAAGTCAAACCCAGATTTTTCAATATCCAGTAGTAAGGTTCAGAGAAAAAAAATGGTGGGTGATGGGGCACAGGTGTCTTCTTTCTCCACGCCTTTGGAACTGCCAAGTAACCCTGTGAGGGCTGTAGCCCAGCCATGGGGCAGTTCTACGTGTATGTGTGAATTTCTGTGGGAAAGAAGGCCCTCTAAAATTCCGGAGTTGAAATGCAATGTACAAAAAGCTTTCAGGTCCTTGAGTGTTGACTTACTACCACGAGGATGCTCTTCTATGCTGGAGACACAAAAACCTACCCACAAACCCACCACCAGGGCAGGCCATCATCCTTCCAAGGTCCTTTAGAAAACTTGTCACAAGACAGATAACTTCATTTGATTGGAGTCTAACTTAATTTTTCTGCAGTGACTGAGAAGGTGGACTGAGAATTAAAAAACGTTCTATCTCAGAATCCAGGAGCCAGGCCACCAGCACAGATGTCCTTTCAGCCATAAATACTGAGTGTGATTAAATGAATAAATATTTGAAAACAGAACTATTTGAAACACAACTCCAAATACATCGTGTGTACAGCCAGCATCACCTAGGGTTGGGGCAAGAACCTCCTTATGCTTGGGAACGTTGATTCTGATGATCTGTAGTATCGGTTCAGTCCAAGTGGGGCCCTTATTATTGTTAGGACGGCAAGTCAAAGACTGAACACTTCTGGATGAAGGAACCAAGCTAGGAGGCTAGCTGACATGTAATGAGTGTATTCTAATTCTGACCAAATGAAGAAGTAACAGGAGTGTACACAGAACCACAGGAGAGAGTCGCAGACTCAAGTCTGAAGCAGCTTCAAGGTCATTGGGCTTTTTCCTTGTACAATGGCTCTTCCTTCAGAAACCCTGACTATCTTCAGTATCCAGGACACCTGATACTGTCTCTGCCTCCTCTCTCTCTCATCCCATGCAGCCTGCCGCTCCTCTGAGCCTCCAGCTCCCTGCCTCCTACACCAGTGCCTTCTTTTTCATTCCACAGCCACTGTTCCAGCCTAGGCCCTTGTCTGACGCTCAGCTCTCCCTGAGCCTAGAATACACTTTGTCCCACAAATTCCTTTCAAAATCCAGTGTATCTTTGCATATACAGCCTAAGGGACACTTCATTCCATTCTCCTATTTTTCTATTCCTTTCCTCAGCTTGATACCATTCCTACACCTGAATTTCCATAGCACTTTGACCATATTTCTATTCAATCACCAACAGTATTGTTTGTATCACACTCACCTGTTTACATGCCTGACTCAATCTGTATTCTCTAGGGACATGTTTCCCAAATGGATTGCTTTGCAAAAATAACTATTTCAAAAGACTCTGTATCCTGAATTTGCCCTCTTTGTTTCAAGGTAAGAACTGAACTCGAATATGTAAAATGCAAATGTAGCCAACCTCAAAAATGGCTCAGCTCATGATTCTAAAACAGGTGTTCTCTGAGGAACACACTTATAAAAGCCAGTGTTTTAGATAATGTATAGAGTAAGCCGAGTGCCTTTGCAGGCTAACAGGCACGGGGTCACTCCTTCAGTACCAGCCTCCTCCAGTCCCCGCGCCCCAGGACTTTAGCAGCACACGTGGAAAACCAGAACTACCACCTCTCCAAGAGGGTAGGAGGGGATTAGAAGAGGGGAACATTTATTGTTCTGCACACTGTTGAAGTCATCTTCAGGCATTTCGACAGGAGACTTCTAAGATAATAAAAATAAGGCAAGTCCATGGTTCCTGTCAACTGCCCACGGAACTCAGGAAGCAAGCGCAACCTAAACCTTTAATGTCCTTCTTTCTCTTCTGAAAAGAAAGTTTTGCTGGGAGTCCCTTTCACTTATTGTGAGAATGGAAGAAATACAGACGTGAGTTCTTAGAGCCTGTCTTTGTCTCTTTTCCCCTGCAGACAAACAACTCACAGTGCCAAGTCTTTGGTACAGTGGCAGCTCTAGGGATTAGGGAGATAGGTAACTAAGTGCCAGAGGAATTAGGTTCTTATCTATCAGGCCCCCCAGAGGTTTAAAACGAATCCTTGTTTTGGTCTGATGGTTTGATCATTCAGTCATTCAATCAATTTTTTGACACCTAAAGAGGACTCACAATGACTCAGTCACTATATTAAGCATCGAGAAGGTATAATCACACCCTCAAGCTGCTTGCAACTCAAGCTGTGAAAAAGCTAAGCGCACAGATAATGAGATAATAAATACTAGCAGTTTCAGGGCAGAGATGTATAAAATGCTTCAGACTGTGCACCGTCCTGGCTGCTGTGTAAACTTATGAGGGTGCTGGTTTGTGTCCCGTACTCAGTAAAGATCTGAATGGACCCTATCTCATTGTGGCTCCTATAGTGGAATTTTAGTCCTCTGTCCCTTGCAATAGGGTATGGCCATGACCACTTCTGGCCAATGAACTGACGTATGCTGCTTCTGAGTCACAGCATGAAAGCAGCAGCCTCCCTCCCCTGCAAAGGCCAAATGTTGTGGATCGATGGTGGCCCAAATCTGATCTGCTGCCTGGTACTGCAAATAAGGTTTTGTTGCAAAGCAGCTGTGTTCACTTATTTATATACTGCCTCTAAGAACAGAGTTGAGAAATCGTGACAAAGGCTATACGGCCAGCAAAGCCTAAAATATTTACTATCTAGATGTTAAAAAAAAGTTTGCTGAGTTCTGCTCTGGACGCTTGTGGTAGATTGTTACAAAATCAAGGATCTGCACATTCCAGGACCCAAGCCTTTGCCTGGTCCCTTCCCATACTGAAACAGAGCTTAGCCATGCGGCTTTTTTCAGCTGATGGGATATCAGTAAGCACGGATCAAGAAGCTGCTTGATAAAGCGTGCTTGCTGGGGTTTGCCCTCTTACCCCCATGTGAGGAAGCCAGGTGTAGCCTTGCTCAGGAGGAAGGACCACATAGTGAGAGAGATGCCCAGACTTCCCAGCTGACCTGGTGCCTCAGCCAACCTCCAGCTGAGTGCAGCTACATCAGTGATTTCAGGCTTATCCTGCAGAAGCCACCCAACCAAATCCTCAGAATTGCAAGAAGTTAATTGCTATTGTTTCAGCTTCTAGATTTTGGTATGGTTTGTTACAATGGGGAGATGGAAGATAATGGACCCATCAACCTGGGTCCCTGAGCAAATTTGTAAAACACAGGCTCTCTCCCTCCCATGACAAACACTAGGCACATGGCATGAGCAAGAAGAAAATTCTAGGATTACAACAGGCAGCATAACTGAGCCCATCTTAACAAACACAGATACTGGAAACAGAAGTAGGGTGCTAACAAAAATAAAGAATGCATCTTTGGCTTCAACGAAGTAGAAATTGATAGTGACCTCTTCTGGCCAAGATGGAGGCAGAGGTAGACACATTGGGCCTCCTTGCACAACCAAAAGAAGGGCAACAAATTTAAAAACAAAAAACAACCAGAACTAACAGAAAACTGAACTGCATGGAAGTCTGACAACCAAGGAGTTAAAGAAGAAACATTCATCCAGACCGGTAGGAGGGGCAGAGATGGACAGCCCGGTGGAGAGGACTCATGGTAGGGTGGCAGCTGGAGGACCAGAGCAGGCAAGGGTGCGGCTGGTGGACCAGGTGAGGTGGTGGCTGGCAGACCAGGAGGTCTCACACTTGTGTGCAGATAAACCAGGAGGAACAACTGGGGAGCGAGACAGACCGTGCAACCTAGGGTTCCAGTGTGGGAAATAAAGCCTCAAACCTCTGACTGAAAAAATCTGTGGGGGTTGAGGTGGCAGGAGAAACTCCCAGTCTCACAGGAGAGTTTGTTGTAGAGACCCACAGGGTCCTAGAATGTACACAAGCCCACCCACATGGGAATCAGCACCACAAGGGCCCAGTTTGCTTGTGGGTAGTAGGGAAGTGACTGAAAACCGGCAGAGAGTAGAGCAAGTAGCACTGTTTCCTCTTGGACCCCTCCCCCACAGATGACACCACAACACAGCAATGTGGTTGCCCCGCCCTGGTGAACACCTAAGGCTCCACCCATTACATTAACAGGAGCACCGAGACAAAGAAACATGGCCCAAATGAAAAAACAGATCAAAGCTCCAGAAAAAATAGAACTAAGCGAGAGACAGTCAACCTATCAGTTCGAAACACTGGTAATCAGGATGCTCACAGAATTAGTTGAGTATGGTCACAAAATAAAGGAAGTGAAGGCTATGAAAAGTGAAATAAAGGAAAATGTACAGGGAACCAATAGTGATGGGAAGGAAACTGGAACTCTAATCAATGGTGTGGACCAGAAGGAAGAAAGAAACATTCAATCAGAACAGAATGAAGAAACAAAAATTCAAAAAAAATGAGGAGCGGCTTAGGAATCTCCAGGACAACTTTAAATGTTCCAACATCTGAATCACAGGGATGCCAGAAGGAGAAGAGGACAAGTAAGAAATTGAACACTTATTTGAACAAATAATGAAGAACTTCCCCAGTCTGGCAAAAGAAATAGACTGCCAGGAAGGAAGTCCAGGAAGCTCAGAGAGTCCCAAAGAAGTTGGACCCAAGGAAGCACACACCAAGGCACAACATACATTACCCAAGATTAAAGATAAGGAGAGAATCTTAAAAGCAGCAAGAGGAAAGGTGACAGTTACCTACAAAAAGAGTTCCCATAAGACTATCAATTGATTTCTCAAAAGAAACCTTGCTGGCCAGAAGGGGCAGGAAAGAAGTATTTGGGAAGTCATGAAAGGCAAGGACCTACATCCAAGATTTCTCTATGCAGCAAAGTTACCATTTGGAATTGAAGGGCAGATAAAGTGCTTCCTAGATAAGGTCAAGTTAAAGG